CGTCATTATGGTGATTACTTTGTTGTCAAAGTAACTACAGGCATAAGGACTCTCTGTTAATTTTTTTTATTACATTGGGTATGTTTTGCCCCGACCAGAAGTGATGATATTAAACTGTGATTATACCTTGTTATTAGGGTAGGTACAGGCGTATAGGACCTGGCTGTACCGCATCAGACAACATTACAGAATCAAACAATACAACAGAGAGGTGCTTTTAACATATGGTTTATTATCACATACACAATGAAACAAAGAAGTGGGGTGTTTCCTGATTGAGGCACTCACACCTTACTGAGCAGAATGGGAGAGTTCAACAAGTGGAGCGCTTTGTGAAGTGCCTGTAGTACATCCAGCTGGGGTCAGGACACTCCTCAGTAGGTGTAAGGTGATGCCATAAACAGTCAAGAACAATAATGAAATAAAATACAATCAATACAGACTGTTCTGAAAATTAGTAGTTTCATTTTATCAATTGGTGAATATTGAGCTAGCATTAAATGTATAGGACCACATGTATTTTTTCACACTAGTATCTCACTTCACAGCAGAAACTGTATACCCACAATAGAAAATCAATATCAAACTAAAATTATCACTTCATTACTCTAATGATCACTTCATTATAATGGGTGATTTACAAACAGACTCCTTATTGATACGAATAGTTAATGAACTTTTGTTTATCTGAGTATGTAAGACCATATATAGAATGTCCCCTAGACTCAGAATAACATCATAATCAAGGCTCAAGTGCAACGTGTGTTCACAATGGTGGGCAATACAGCATTGGATTGGATTGTACTTTAAATGTCGGACTACATCTTGACTTCAAACAACGTATTTCTGGTCTTTGAATGGCACTTAGAAGTGATACACATAAGGTAGAGAGTTTATGGATGTCAACTTCTATATGATGAGGAACACAATGCTCCTCCTTCATCACATGATGGACTGCTAGGATGCAGAGATCATATACATGTAAGAGCAACAAAAGTAACAACATACTTACCGCCAAAAGAAATGCAAACCATAGAAACATATGGAGAAGTATGTACGTTAGGCTAAAAAAGATAATAGTCTTGGTTCTCATGCACCGCCTGCATAATCTTAAAGTTTGTCGCACCTTTTGTTTATATTTCCATTTTACAAAATAAATTATAAAATCCTAAAACAATGTGATCCAATTTAGCACACAGTTACTTCCCTTTACATGCGCACTGCTTTACTGCACATCTTGTGTTATGGTCATGGCGGCAATAGGAGTTTGTATGCTTGTTTATGTAGGGAGGTCCTTTCCCAGGTTGATGGTACACAACTGTTTGCATGTATTTGGTTACTTACTAGTTTGAATAAGCAAAAGCAAAAAAAACACCCCCAAAACACTTGTCCACCCGCACCATATTTTCAAAAGTCATTGCCTGAGAACCAATTCTTTTATTTTTTTAAGCCTCAAGAAGTGATGTTTCCAATGTGTACCAATTAATGACAAAACGAACACTCAGTCAAGTGTTACCACAGAGTGTCTTATTCTTATCACGATATGCTGCATATGCCGGGGCAAGGGGCAGATGGTGCATCTCGAGTCATGGGTCTCTATGACATCACATGTGATGTGTTCATGAATATTGGTTCACAAAACATACCAGTAAGTTAGTTTTTGCATCAACCAATCATATATCTCTTGAATATGAGTAATACTTCATATATTAATACATGTATGGTAATCGCATTTCTTTTGGCAGTCAGTACTGATATATATGCTCTCTGCTTCCCAGCATTCACTCCCCTGATGAAGGAGTAAGCTTATACATGTACTCCGGAATGTGTGTTCCTCATAAGGAAGAAGTAGAATCCATAAAGTCTCTTCCTGAAGTATTCCTTGTACTAAACACAGGAGGTGATATCAAGTAAAGACTAACTGGCCATCAACATGAATGTAAGGCTGAGGCTATCAGGGCTACACAAATATGCTGTTCATGAGACAATGCTTGTCAGCTTTATAATCGTGGTGGTTAGACAGGCTAGTGGAAAATATGTCTCCTGATTGTTCTTTAATAAATTGGAGGAATATGTGCAACAAAACGGTGAAGAATTGTTTCAAATAAATGTGTTGGAGTCAATATACCTGTGAAAGCATCATTTGTAAAACTCTTCCGAATTGCTTGGAGATATTGATATGAACCTATGTGACTTGAGTACACTAACCTTCTTAATTTGGTGTACATGATCCTTAGTGTGAAACAAAGAGTTGACAAATAAATGTTCCAATTATCAATCAATATTGATGGCTATAGGGATAATTACACTTCTGACTATTCACCCATTACAAGTAAACACTTTCAGCAGAACATGTATCAATTTTCCTGTCTACTTATAATTAAGGGGTAAAAAACAGACATGGAGAAACCTGACTGTGGGTGCATAAGACTGTGCTAGTGTAGTCAAACAGAACACCAGTACCATGTATCAACACCAGTATCATGTACCAACACCAGTATCATGTACACACATCAGTATCATGTATCAACACCAGTATCATGTATCAACTCCAGTATCATGTATCAACACCAGTATCATATCTCAACACCAGTATCATGTATCAACACCAGTATCATGTACCAACATCAGTATCATGTATCAACACCAGTATCATGTATCAACTCCAGTATCATGTACCAACACCAGTATCATGTATCAACACCAGTATCATGTACCAACACCAGTATCATGTACCAACATCAGTATCATGTATCAACTCCAGTATCATGTATCAACACCAGTATCATGTACCAACAGTATCATGTACCAACACCAGTATAATGTACTAACACCAGTATCATGTACCAACACCTGTATCATGTATCAACACCAGTATCATGTATCAACACCAGTATCATGTATCAACACCAGTATCATGTATCAACACCAGTATCATGTATCAACACCAGTATCATGTACCAACACCAGTATCATGTATCAACACCAGTATCATGTATCAACACCAGTATCATGTACCAACAGTATCATGTACCAACACCAGTATCATGTACCAACACCAGTATCATGTATCAACACCAGTATCATGTATCAACACCAGTATCATGTATCAACACCAGTATCATGTACCAACACCAGTATCATGTACCAACACCAGTATCATGTACCAACACCAGTACATAGGCAAGAAGCAAAATAGACTTAAACTGTTTTCATTTTGGTTGGAAAACCTATAATTCGAGATATGTCAGCACATCAAGTGTGCATATTTCTATGATATTACTGCCGACCTGTTGGACAAGTACTTAGCAGAATAACGCCATTATATGAATATATATGGGAAAAGGCTGATATTTATATAGTTTTCCTAAATACACTCATTAAAGATATGAATGTGATAGATAAAAATGATGATCACATGTGACATATATCACTAGCACTTTAGATATTGTTGTCTTAAAACCAGCTTCGTGATACGATAAAGAGAAGCATCTAAAATACCCATCTCAAACATGCAATACAATACAGGAATATCCCAACACCAACTTGGACAATAGCAGTATGAATGATTATTGCAGCAAATATAGCAACACTTTCCAGTTTGATTTCTAATTGCAGTTTGATATATTTACCTACATTACTTATTGTTTATGTTACCATTTTCGTGAAATTCATTTCACTAAAAACCTGCACACGTACAGCCTTGAGCTATTGTAATGCCAGTCTGCACCAGAACATGCAGATGCTTTATTGCACATGTCCACCACTGAAAAGAGGTTAAAAATTTGTTCGTCCTAAAGGCTAGATATATATTTTGGGTTTTTTCAACATATTAGGTCAGTATAAAAGGATTTCTACAAGAGGTCAACAACAAAGAACAAAAATCCCTTTAGGTTATAAACCAATAAATACAGGATATGTTTTCACAATTTCTGATTGTTTAAGTGAAGCTCACCATGTAAACCTGTCAACAGTCAACAATTGAAATGTCAACAATGATGGCTGTGGTATATATTTAGACACAGAGTGTCTGCAATAAACACATTAGGCTTCAAGTGGGTGCCATTTGGGATCAGTTCAGCCTGTGAAGTGTTTCAATACAAGAATGAAGAAATCTTCTGGATATACAGGGGAGTCAGAGGGTGTTCGATGACATGATAATTGCAGGTGAAGGTGACAAAGAGCACAACAAAATTGTTACAAAGACACGTGGCATCAAATAAATTTCTTTGTACAGCTGCATACGAGTGGGATATTGTTCCTTTATGTGGATATTCACGGATACATTCCTCGAACAAGGAAGCTGCCTAAAATTATACATATAAATTTGGTAGGTTGTAATTATGATGTTTGCATTTTGTTTTCCTTCATTTGGTGTAGCATTGGACAGATTCATTCTTGTTCTTCTACGTCTTGGTTGGGAAGTTTTTCGAGGCACGATAGATATTGTTTTCACAAGTCTTTTACTTTGTAAGCGTGTATATTACAGTCAATTTGTAAAATTGACTAAAAATGATTCGGTTAAAAGGGCTTAAAAACATCATAATAGATTAATTATGCAAGGAGTAGAAGCCAAACAATAAAGAAATGTACTTTTAATCCTAACATTTTCAGTCACTTGGTGAGGATATTAAACATAAAAATGTTTGGAATTGGTTATCATAAAAATACAGATGGACATATGTTTCAGTCAATTTGTAAAACTGAATATTTAGGCTTTAATAAATTTCCTAAGTGAAAGTTTTGCACATTTTGACTGTATAAATAAAAACACCTTAAAATAAGCAATGCTCAGGTGAAATACTTTGTGTTGCAAGATAAAAAAGTGTAAACGAAAATCGCACAATTACCAAGCAAGTGTCTTATCAATACTTTGTCACCATTACCGATGCCACCCACAAAGATACCTACATTTATTTATTATTTCCAAAACTGTATTTCATTTTGTTGAGCAATGTGACCATACGCCCATATACTATCAATAAAAGTGACAAATGCGCTTACGAATGACGCAGCACAGGTCGCAAACTAGTCTAGATTTCTGCATGTATCATCCGGGTACCCACGGTGAAAAACAATAACAAAGGCAACAACCAGTCCCAGGGAATTGCTTTAGATCAGTGCCCTTTTAAGAAAGAAATCCGGTATATGCATCGAGAGCTTGTACACCATTAGAAAGAAATAACGCACTAATTGAAAAAGAGCTTTGGCTACTGTTTTCACATGTGAGAAGTTTAACCAGTACATCTATGGCAAAACTGTTAAAGCGACCATAAACCAGTCAAAACTATTCTCTGAAAGGCACTGTGCAAAGCATCACCGAGCCTGCTACGAATGATGAAGAGATTGCAGAAATATCAACTGTGACGTATGCACCAGTAAAGTAGATGTCTTTTGCAGACACTCTGTCAAGGACATTCCTCTCGGAGTGCCCAACTGACAACGCAGTCGACACAGAATCAGGAATTGAAAAATAACCCTCCAATGTGTGCCAAGAACCAGTTTGAAAACCCCTCGAAAGAAGACCAGGAAATGCAGGAGCTTTTTAAGTTTAATCAGAAATGGATGGCTAACTCACAAATGTGAAGCTCCACTCTCATCTCATCCGTAGAGGTGAACCACTAGTCAAACCAAGAAGTCTACAAGCAGAAATGGTAATGATCATCCATGACGGCCATTCGGGAATTGAAAAATGCAAGTCAAGTGCATGAAGAATTAGGTACTGGCCAGACATGTCCACCGACATAGGGACACAGTCTCACGATGCAAGACATGTCCACCGACATAGAGACACAGTCTCACGATGCAAGACATGTCCACCGACATAGGGACACAGTCTCACGATGCAAGACATGTCCACCGACATAGAGACACAGTCTCACGATGCAAGACATGTCCACCGACATAGAGACACAGTCTCATGATGCAAGACATGTCCACCGACATAGAGACACAGTCTCACGATGCAAGACATGTCCACCGACATAGAGACACAGTCTCATGATTCAAGACATGTCCACCGACATAGAGACACAGTCTCACGATGCAAGACATGTCCACCGACATAGAGACACAGTCTCATGATGCAAGACATGTCCACCGACATAGAGACACAGTCTCACGATGCAAGACATGTCCACCGACATAGAGACACAGTCTCATGATTCAAGACATGTCCACCGACATAGAGACACAGTCTCACGATGCAAGACATGTCCACCGACATAGAGACACAGTCTCATGATTCAAGATCGCATGCTATATTTGTGTTCCTTGGTGATTTGTCAGTTGGTCAACTGATCATGTGACACACACGAGATATAGCATGATACTATATATGTCACATCTGCCTTTCCTGAGCTGCTTCAGCTAGACTAAATATCAAATATTTACAAAGTTATATACTGTTACCAGACAGTATCTTGGAACATCCATGCATTTCGTCTTATGTTACAATGGCCACTTTCAAAAGTAGCTGTCAAAAGTGAGATTCAAATATTTTTTGTGCAAATACTGGGGACTTAAAGACAACACACTAAATTCCTAATGATTTGAGCACAATATAATGTCACTATTAGGAGAAACATACATGCCAGGGTTCAGCTCCCTCAATCTGGCAATTTCAAACACAGTGAAGATACTCATTCTTAAGCTGTCCACCATGTCTTGTAGATATTGAACCAGCACAGAAACAGTAGCATTGAAACAGGTAGGGTTTGAAACAGGTCCCTACAATCAATCATCTCAACCCCATTTACATTGCTATCAAAAAGTACCGTATGCAAACAATTCCTATATATTCCCCAAAGATGAGGCTGGAAGACCCTAGCTTAATCCCCTGTTGACAGAGCTAATGAAGAATGAAGTTAGGCCGACCCTTGACCTTGATTACACCCAACCACAACAGCCATCCCACTATCCATTGTTCCACCAGTCACCATCCACCCTCTTCCTCCTCCTAATCTGCATCCTCCTCTTCCTCCTCCTCAACCTGCAGTTGTTGGAGTTGTGCATATATGGCAGTAACTAGCTGCCTTAGTCGTTTGGCCTGATCCTCATCCTGGCACTCTGCCAGCCAGTCCCTACACTGCCTCAACACACAATCCTTTTGAACTGCAAAATGTTGGCGAATCACCTTCTCTAAGCCTGCAAATATAACAACAGCTATTTCTTCATAATTCAACAAAACTTAAAAAAGCTTCAGAAAGAATTGATGGGCATTTGTCACATTTTCGTAAAATGACATTTAGGCTTTATCACCGTACCAGGTGGAGGGTTTCTTAGCTGTCCCAGCACAGCATGTCTCAGGGTGTTGAGTCGGATCTTCCAGTTGTAGGCCGTGCTCTGACGCTGGAACAAACATCAACCACAGTGGTTATAGATAAGTTATTGAAAGGACAAAATAAGGCAACATTTATGCTCCACAGACTTGGGTTTGTAAAGAAATAGGGTGCAAATGTTGCTCAATAGTTTACATACTGTTTTCTATAGAGTTGTAGTCAATCGAATGCTAATTCTGTTTCAATGCATAATGTTAATGAATCCACAGTAACAATTTAGTTGACAAGGGGCTTGCAGTGGCTGGAGACAATACAATGCATTTGATTCATCATTATTCATCAAAGTTGAAATAAACGACAAAAGTATGCAATAATAGTCAAATGTTACGAATAAAGTATTAAATGTTACTGATAAAGGTCAAAATACAAAACAAACAGACGCCAGTTGAAGAATACAAAGTTGAAATAAAGGTCAAAAGTACGCAATATAATTGTCAAATGTATGAAAACACGTCATATGAAAAGAAAGAAAAATGTGTACTAAAGAACGACACTAAAACGCTATATGACGTTGACAGATGGGGCTGGAATTTGTAAAACATTTCGAGTTTAATCCGCTTGTTCCGCTGTGAATATGATAACTACATGCCGAGGTGCACAATGTATTACGTCATTCCTCGTGCACCCAGTGTCTTGTTGTCACATATATGTATGTATTAGTCTATATTTATGTATAATTTATAATGTACACATTGTGTATATGCATGTTGCATTTATGCATTGTCACCAGGAAAGGGCCTTTTTGCTTGGTGCAACATGAGTGGGTTATGATGCCAAATTATGCTTCAGGTGCACATTTTCATAAAATCTGAAAACTGAACGTTGTGCGAGAATTGGGCACTGTCAACCTTGTTTATAGCAAGCTATTTTTCCTATCGTAAGTATAACATTATACATATGCATACAAATCAATTTGATATATATATATATTCATGTTGTTCAGATATTTGGCAACATTTTGTTCGCTCACAGTTTCTGTTTGATAAAACAAATGGTCCCACAGTACTTACATCGGTGTACGATAATAAGTGGCGACATTTGCTGATTTTTACGCACAACAAGATATCGGACAACACTTAGCAGTGTCTCTTTTTTAAATCGGTTTAAAATTTGTAGTTACATTTACACCACACCATCAGATGGGAAAGTGAACATTTTACATCTCTGCGTAAGTTTATAGTCTGAGGTTGACACAGTGCAGCGCAATCGCAACATTCTCGCACAACGTTCACTTTTCAGATGTTATGAAAATAACGTAATACATTGTGCACCTCGGCATGCGGTTATCATATACACAGCGGACCTAGCCGACTAAACTCGGAATGTTTTAGAAATTGCAGCGCCATCTGGCGTTCTTTATTTTCAATGTCCTTTAGCGGTTTAGTGTCCTTTCGTGCGCACTGACGTTCTTTAGTACACATTGTTCTTTCTTTTCAAATGAAGTTTTTTTGACAATTATTTTGCAAACTTTTGACCTTTATTTCAACTTTGTATGTTTTAACCAGCGTCTGTTTGTTTTGTATTTTGACCTTTATAGGTAACATTTAATACTTTATTCGTAACATTTGACTATTATTGCATACTTTAGTCCTTTATTTCAACTTTGTATCTTTTTACCTAATGGCCGCCCATACGGTCATTTTGTGTGGTTTTTGTAGTTGTATTTTTTGTACTTTTAAAATCCATATAAATTAAGTGATTGGGCGAATAAATTAAACATAAATTTGTTCACTTTTGTCACATCTGTAAACCTAAAATAAAAAAGTGTTGTCTCATATCATGTTTTAGAGTACACTGAGAAGACATCTGCACAAGGCTACATCACAGCAGGACCACTCACGTCTCCCTCTGTCTTGCCCTTCATCCCCTCGTAGCCGGGCTCGTTGAACATGGGATCTGGGATGAGGATGAGGCTCTGTATCGACACCAGCACCTGCAGCAGCAACATTTCCTCACTGGCTCATACAATGTGGAGTACAGTCGAACCCCATTCTCTCGAACCTAGCGGGGTTGTGTTGTAACTTGTAGATTTATAATAAGGCGGTTGGGACCGGAGAATAGGTTTGAGAATAGGTTTGAGAATACGTTCGAAATAACAGGGTTCCAGATAACAAGGTTTGTCTGTATATACATTCAGTAGGACAAAGGAGGCTTTGGTCTGCAGATACAGCTGATAGTGTTGTACATTTATTGTTCAGCTTGTGAAAATTAGGATCTGGATCTTGATATGTTTCAATTAGTGTTGACTGATTTACTGCACTGTACGGCTGGCTATACCAGGCTTACCTGGTAGATGCTGGACTTGGCAGGGTTCCACTTCTCACTGGCATCACCCCCATGCCATGTGCCCAGTAAACTCAGGCACACCTTGCCGTCAGAGTACAGGTTGGGGTTGAATCTAACACACAACCAATCACCACTGAATTCATTGCTTAAGATACAGTGTAATTATTGTGTATGATTGACATGGAAAGACTATATTTCACTTTCTTCTGAAGGAGCACACATGAGATTACACTAAATACCTGGTGATGAAGTCCCCCTGGGCTAGGTACTCATGAACCACAACCAGGTTTGATTCCTCTTATGATTCACAGAGAAAACATGGTTATTCAAGACATATCTGTTGACCTTGTTTGGGTCCCATATATGCTGCTCGTTATTCAGGAAATATTGATAAAACCAAATAATAACCCACTGCAATCCTTTCTGTACCAATTTGCCATAGTCAACCCCCCAAATACCTGACACTTCCGCCTCCCGTGGTGATGATCTTCACCAGCGGGGCGCTGTTTGGGTAGCTGGCGGGGAAGTAGATGTCAAACACGAAACAACCCAGACTGTAGGGTGTCCCAACGGGCCCCGTTACCAGCGCTCGCATCACATCAATACGCTCCTCCTCCTGTGAAGACATAGATATTACCAGTGGTGCCCCATGCCCTCACATACATCCTCGATGTTCCATAACGTATATATGTGCCATAACAGAGAAGTGGAGAAATTAACAATGAAGACTTCCTGTTTTGCTTTAATTTCCTTGCATCATGGTATCTTGAACACATCAATTACACTTATGGAAGTTTCTAATGGAGGCTACAAGGGGTGTCTGAAAAGTTCTAAGCCTATCTATGATGGACTGCACTGATGGACTTGGTTGTTTATTTTTCAAAATAATCCCCTCCCAGGTCCACACACTTCTGGCAATGATGCTAGAGTGCTTGGAAACTACTGGTGTAGAAGACTTCCTCCTCGTGGTGTAAAAAGTCCTCCGCAGAAGGAATTATGTGATCATAATTTTTGCAGTGCTTGCAAGACAGTTCTTTTTTCAAGTTTGGAAATCTGACGGCGCAAAATCTGGTGAAAACGATGGATGTTTATTGAGTTCCAAGTCCTAGCCATACAAAGCAGCCATGGCGACAAGAGACTTGTGCCCTGTGCACTGTTCTGGTGGAACAACACACCTTCAGCAGCCTTTATATTTCACACACTTGCCAAAGCAAATAAACATAGTAATAACCTTAATGGTCTGAGTTTTCTGTTGGTTGTCCACCAGTAGGATTCCTTTGAAATCTCAGAAAACTAAAGCCATCACCTTGCCAGCTGATGGAGCAGACTTTGCCTTCTTCAGAGATGAGATGTTTTCACTGCTTTGACTGTTGCTTAGTCTCTGGCTGATATTGGTGAGCCCAAGACTCATCCATGGTTACAAATCGCTCAACAAAATGTGCTGACTCTGCTTCACAACAACATAAATTTTCCCGAGAGATGATGAACCTGGAACATTTAGATCAGGTGTTGGAAGCCTTCAACCCAGCATGCTGAAACATTTGTCATTCCTCAGAACATTCTTAACTTTCATGAGTGATACCTACTGTATTTGCCATCAGACATATGGTGAGTTGTTGAGCATCCATAAATCACATGTTTTTCATCAACATTATTCTTAGTGGGCGTCATTGAAGGTCTTCCTGATCTTGGATCTTTTCAAGGCTCTATCCTCGCCTCTTGAACTCTGCTGCCCACCTCTTAACACTTGCAACTGCAGAAGAATCATCCTGTTATGTGGAAACCATGTCCGCATGGATGGTAGTGGGGGTAGCCCTTTCAGTTGGTAGGAAGGTTTGTCCATTTTCATCAACAAAGAATATCTTTTCAACTTGATGATGGCATAAATGTGCTACCTTCTTGTGTATTTGGTTCCAGTGCAGCAAATAAGCATGGAATGTATTGTACTTAATACATGCAAACTGAGACTACTATACATCCTTCATAGATAGGCTCAGAATTTTCAGCCACTCCCCATAACAGTGAACTTGACTCAATTTGCCAAAACTTCTGACCATTTCATGGGCAAGGAAAGCATGAACATCATTGATGAATAAGAATCATTACATCACTGATCATAGGAATGGTACACTTGTTAGTATTTGGCATGTTTCCTTGATCACTTTCCCTAAGTTTTGTTTCTGATATCTATACAGGTCACCTGTACAACAAAGATGGCGGCATTCGGGTGCACGGGCAAATTCTGCTGTAGCTGCTTCATCTCTTTCATCAGAACCTTCACCTTCGGGGACCTGCAGACAACAGCAGTGACTTAGTGACCTTCCTGTCAGTACCAGTGTCTTAGTGTACCTGGCTGTCAGTAGCAGTGTCTTAGTGTACTGGCCTGTCAGCAGCAGTGTCTTAGTGACCTTCCTGTCAGTAGCAGTGTCTTAGTGTCCCTGGCTGTCAGCAGTAGTGTCTTAGTGTACCTGGCTGTCAGCAGCAGTGTCTTAGTGTACCTGGCTGTCAGTAGCAGTGTCTTAGTGACCTTCCTGTCAGCAGCAGTGTCTTAGTGTCCCTGGCTGTCAGACGCAGTGTCTTAGTGTCCCTGGCTGTCAGCAGCAGTGTCTTAGTGTACCTGGCTGTCAGTAGCACTGTCTTAGTGACCTTCCTGTCAGCAGCAGTGTCTTAGTGTCCCTGGCTGTCAGACGCAGTGTCTTAGTGTACCGGCCTGTCAGCAGCAGTGACTTAGTGACCTTCCTGTCAGTAGCAGTGTCTAAGTGTACCGGCCTGTCAGCAGCAGTGTCTTAGTGACCTTCCTGTCAGTAGCAGTGTCTTAGTGTCCCTGGCTGTCAGTGCCAGTGTCTTAGTGTACCTGGCTGTCAGCAGCAGTGTCTTAGTGTACCTGGCTGTCAGCAGTAGTGTCTTAGTGTACCTGGCTGTCAGTAGCAGTGTCTTAGTGTACCTGGCTGTCAGCAGCAGTGTCTTAGTGTACCTGGCTGTCAGCAGCAGTGTCTTAGTGTACCTGGCTGTCAGCAGCAGTGTCTTAGTGTACCTGGCTGTCAGCAGCAGTGTCTTAGTGTACCTGGCTGTCAGCAGTGGTGTCTTAGTGTACCTGGCTGTCAGCAGCAGTGTCTTAGTGTACATGGCTGTCAGCAGCAGTGTCTTAGTGTACCTGGCTGTCAGCAGCAGTGTCTTAGTGTACCTGGCTGTCAGTACCAGTGTCTTAGTGTACCTGGCTGTCAGTACCAGTGTCTTAGTGTACCTGGCTGTCAGCAGCAGTGTCTTAGTGTACCTGGCTGTCAGCAGCAGTGTCTTAGTGTACCTGGCTGTCAGCAGCAGTGTCTTAGTGTACCTGGCTGTCAGCAGTAGTGTCTTAGTGTACCTGGCTGTCAGTAGCAGTGTCTTAGTGTACCTGGCTGTCAGCAGTAGTGTCTTAGTGTACCTGGCTGTCAGCAGTAGTGTCTTAGTGTCCTGACTGTCAGCAGCAGTGTCTTGGTGTCCTGACTCTCAGCACCAGTGTCTTAGTATCCTGGCTGTCAGCAGCAGTGTCTTAGTGTCCTGACTGTCAGCAGCCGTGTCTTAGTGTACCTGACCGTCAGCAGCAGTGTCTTTGTGTCCTGACTGTCAGCAGCAGTTTCTTGGTGTCAGCAGCAGTGTCTTAGTGTACCTGGCTGTCAGCAGCAGTGTCTTAGAGTACCTGGCTGTCAGCAGCAGTGTCTTAGTGTACCTGCCTGTTAGCAGCAGTGTCTTAGTGTACCTGGCTATCAGCAGCAGTGTCTTAGTGTACCTGCCTGTTGGCAGCAGTGTCTTGGTGTACCTGGCTGTCAGCAGTAGTGTCTTAGTGTACCTGGCTTTCAGCAGTAGTGTCTTAGTGTACCTGGCTGTCAGTAGCAGTGTCTCAGTGTACCTGGCTGTCAGCAGCAGTGTCTTAGTGTCCTGACTGTCAGCAGCAGTGTCTTAGTGTCCCTGGCTGTCAGCAGCAGTGTCTTAGTGTACCTGGCTGTCAGCAGCAGTGTCTTAGTGTACCTGCCTGTTAGCAGCAGTGTCTTGGTGTACCTGGCTGTCAGCAGCAGTGTCTTAGTGTACCTGGCTGTCAGTACCAGTGTCTTAGTGTCCAGACTGTCAGCAGCAGTGTCTTAGTGTCCTGACTTTCAGCAGTAGTGTCTTAGTGTACCTGGCTGTCAGTACCAGTCTTAGTGTACCTGGCTGTCAGTACCAGTGTCTTAGTGTACCTGGCTGTCAGCAGCAGTGTCTTAGTGTACCTGGCTGTCAGCAGTAGTGTCTTAGTGTACCTGGCTGTCAGCAGCAGTGTCTTAGTGTACCTGGCTGTCAGCAGCAGTGTCTTAGTGTACCTGGCTGTCAGTACCAGTGTCTTAGTGTACCTGGCTGTCAGCAGCAGTGTCTTAGTGTACCTTGCCGTCAGCAGTAGTGTCTTTGTGTACCTGGCTGTAAGCAGCAGTGTCTTAGTGTACCTGGCTGTCAGCAGCAGTGTCTTAGTGTACCTGGCTGTCAGCAGCAGTGTCTTAGTGTACCTGGCTGTCAGCAGCAGTGTCTTAGTGTACCTGGCTGTCAGCAGCAGTGTCTTAGTGTACCTGGCTGTCAGCAGTGGTGTCTTAGTGTACCTGGCTGTCAGCAGCAGTGTCTTAGTGTACATGGCTGTCAGCAGCAGTGTCTTAGTGTACCTGGCTGTCAGCAGCAGTGTCTTAGTGTACCTGGCTGTCAGTACCAGTGTCTTAGTGTACCTGGCTGTCAGTACCAGTGTCTTAGTGTACCTGGCTGTCAGCAGCAGTGTCTTAGTGTACATGGCTGTCAGCAGCAGTGTCTTAGTGTACCTGGCTGTCAGCAGCAGTGTCTTAGTGTACTGGCTGTCAGCAGTAGTGTCTTAGTGTACCTGGCTGTCAGTAGCAGTGTCTTAGTGTACCTGGCTGTCAGCAGTAGTGTCTTAGTGTACCTGGCTGTCAGCAGTAGTGTCTTAGTGTCCTGACTGTCAGCAGCAGTGTCTTGGTGTCCTGACTCTCAGCACCAGTGTCTTAGTATCCTGGCTGTCAGCAGCAGTGTCTTAGTGTCCTGACTGTCAGCAGCAGTGTCTTAGTGTACCTGACTGTCAGCAGCAGTGTCTTTGTGTCCTGACTGTCAGCAGCAGTTTCTTGGTGTCAGCAGCAGTGTCTTAGTGTACCTGGCTGTCAGCAGCAGTGTCTTAGTGTACCTGGCTGTCAGCAGCAGTGTCTTAGTGTACCTGGCTGTCAGCAGTGGTGTCTTAGTGTACCTGGCTGTCAGCAGCAGTGTCTTAGTGTACCTGGCTGTCAGCAGCAGTGTCTTAGTGTACTTAGCTGTCAGCAGCAGTGTCTTAGTGTACCTGGCTGTCAGCAGCAGTGTCTTAGTGTACCTGGCTGTCAGCAGCAGTGTCTTAGTGTACCTGGCTGTCAGCAGCAGTGTTTTAGTGTCCTGACTGTCAGCAGCAGTGTCTTAGTGTACCTGGCTGTCAGCAGCAGTGTCTTAGTGTACCTGGATGTCAGCAGCAGTGTTTAAGTGTACCTTGCTGTCAGCAGCAGTGTATTAGTGTACCTGACTGTCAGCAGCAGAGTACATAAGCTTTCGCTTATATGTTAAGTTTTGCATTCACATCTCACCATCTGATACCCATCCACTGCTGGGTGAACAGAGGCATACTTTGAACAAAGTCACTTGCTTCTTGGGAAGCCCTAGGAAATCTTTAAGTCAAGCTTTCCAGTGCTGTCATGAATCCACCTACACTCCACATGGCCAACACCAACACTTGGCCTGATTTGTGACCTGTGCATTGCGCAGAGGACCACCTGTCACTACTTCCATACAAAATCCACCTACCTAGGATCAAGACTCTGCAAGTTACTCAGGTAGCTGTGACTTTCCTGAAAAATATCAATGCACACAAATTATAATCATAATTTGATTTCATATATTATAGTCAAATTATCAGTGTACTATAAACGTCATTTCTCCGATCACGTCTCTATAATCTTTATGTGCAAACCTTACTGCATATTGTTCATGGGATTTAAACTTCACAATTCTTCACTGCAGAAAATCATAAATTAGACAGTGTTACTGTCTGGCAGAGCCATCCCCTGGTCTGGTTCAGAGTTGGATCTCCCTATCTTATCTATAAATCTGCATGTAGGGGAGACGTGTTGAATCTAGTGTAGGGGAGACGTGTTGAATCTAGTGTAGGGGAGAGGTGTTGAATCTAGTGTAGGTGAGAGATGTTGAATCTAGTGTAGGGGAGACATGTTGAATCTAGTGTAGGGGAGAGGTGTTGAATCTAGTGTAGGGGAGAGGTGTTGAATCTGGTGTAGGTGAGAGGTGTTGAATCTAGTGTAGGGGTGATGTGTTGAATCTAGTGTAGGGGAGTGGTGTTGAATCTAGTGTAGGGGAGTGGTGTTGAATCTAGTGTAGGTGAGAGGTGTTGAATCTAGTGTAGGTGAGAGGTGTTGAATCTGGTGTAGGGGAGATGTGTTGAATCTGGTGTAGGTGAGATGTGTTGAATCTAGCGTAGGGGAGATGTGTTGAATCTAGTGTAGGGGAGACGTGTTGAATCTAGTGTAGGGGAGATGTGTTGAATCTGGTGTAGGGGAGATGTGTTGAATCTGGTGTAGGGGAGAGATGTTGAATCTAGTGTAGGTGAGAGGTGTTGAATCTAGTGTAGGTGAGAGGTGTTGAATCTAGTGTAGGGGAGATGTGTTGAATCTGCTGTAGTGGAGATGTGTTGAATCTGGTGTAGGGGAGATGTGTTGAATCTGGTGTAGGGGAGAGATGTTGAATCTAGTGTAGGTGAGAGGTGTTGAATCTAGTGTAGGGGAGATGTGTTGAATCTAGTGTAGGTGAGAGATGTTGAATCTAGTGTAGGTGAGAGGTGTTGAATCTAGTGTAGGAGAGAAGTGTTGAATATAGTGTAGGTGAGATGTGTTGAATCTAGTTTAGGTGAGATGTGTTGAATCTAGTGTAGGTGAGAGGTGTTGAATCTAGTGTAGGGGAGATGTGTTGAATCTGGTGTAGTGGAGATGTGTTGAATCTGGTGTAGGGGAGATGTGTTGAATCTGGTGTAGGGGAGAGATGTTGAATCTAGTGTAGGTGAGAGGTGTTGAATCTAGTGTAGGGGAGATGTGTTGAATCTAGTGTAGGTGAGAGATGTTGAATCTAGTGTAGGTGAGAGGTGTTGAATCTAGTGTAGGAGAGAAGTGTTGAATATAGTGTAGGTGAGATGTGTTGAATCTAGTTTAGGTGAGATGTGTTGAATCTAGTGTTGGTGAGAGGTGTTGAATCTAGTGTAGGGGAGACGTGTTAAATCTAGTGTAGGTGAGAGATGTTGAATCTACTTTAGGTGAGATGTGTTGAATCTAGTGTAGTGAGATGTGTTGAATCCAGTGTAGGTGAGAGGTGTCTAATCTAGTGTAGGGGAGAGGTCTTGAATCTAGTGTAGTTGAGATGCGTTGAATCTTGTGTAGTGAGATGTGTTGAATCTAGTGTAGGGGAGAGGTCTTGAATCTAGTGTAGTTGAGACGTGTTGAGTCTAGTGTAGACGAGAGTAGTTGAATCTAGTGTAGGTGAGGGATGTTGAATCTAGTGTAGGTGAGAGGTGTTGAATCTAGTGCAGGTGAGAGGTGTTGAATCTAGTGTAGGTGAGGGATGTTGAATCTAGTGTAGGTGAGAGGTGTTGAATCTAGTGTACGTGAGAGGTGATGAATCTAGTGTAGGTGAGGGATGTTGAATCTAGTGTACGTGAGAGGTATTGAATCTTGTGTAGGTGAGGGGTGTTGAATCTAGTGTACGTGAGAGGTGTTGAATCTAGTGTAGGTGAGGGATGTTGAATCTAGTGTAGGTGGGAGGTGTTGAATCTAGTGTAGGTGAGAGGTGTTGAATCTAGTGTAGGTGAGAGGTGTGAAGTGTTACCTGTATGTCTGCTGTGAGGAAGCGGCAGCCTGTCATACAGCGGGTGTACACCTCCAGCACCTGGTCCTGGTCCACTGCCACACCATCCAGCTCCTTCACAACGCTCAGCTCATCGGAGGCCACCACCTCATCCGACCTCGTCTCCTCATGGAGCTGCCTTAACTGGAAATAAACATTGACGAAAGTTCCTCTGCGCACAGATGAGGGAATAGTTTACAACCATAATATGACAAAGCCCTATACATAAGGGGACCATGTACCTGGTGTAGGAGGGGACCGTGTACCTGGTGTAGGAGGAGACCATGTACCTGGTGTAGGAGGAGACCATGTATCTGGTGTACCCAGTGTAGGAGGGGACCATGTACCTGGTGTACCTGGTGTTGGAGGGGACTGTACCTGGTGTAGGAGGAGACCATGTACCTGGTGTAGGAGGAGACCGTGTATCTGGTGTAGGAGGGGACCATGTACCTGGTGTAGGAGGAGACCATGTACCTGGTGTAGGAGGAGACCATGTACCTGGTGTAGGAGGAGACCATGTATCTGGTGTACCTGGTGTACCCAGTGTAGGAGGGGACCGTGTACCCAGTGTAGGAGGAGACCATGTACCTGGTGTAGGAGGAGACCATGAACCTGGTGTTGGAGGGGACCATGTACCTGGTGTACCTGGTGTTGGAGGGGACTGTATACCTGGTGTAGGAGGAGACCATGTACCTGGTGTAGGAGGAGACCATGTACCTGGTGTAGGAGGAGACCATGTACCTGGTGTACCCAGTGTAGGAGGGGACCATGTACCTGGTGTAGGAGGAGACCATGTACCTGGTGTACCCAGTGTAGGAAGGCACTGTGTACCTGGTGTACCTGGTGTTGGAGGGGACTGTATACCCAGTGTAGGAGGAGACCATGTACCTGGTGTAGGAGGAGACCGTGTATCTGGTGTAGGAGGGGACCATGTACCTGGTGTAGGAGGAGACCATGTACCTGGTGTAGGAGGAGACCATGTACCTGGTGTAGGAGGAGACCATGTATCTGGTGTACCTGGTGTACCCAGTGTAGGAGGGGACCGTGTACCCAGTGTAGGAGGAGACCATGTACCTGGTGTAGGAGGAGACCATGTACCTGGTGTTGGAGGGGACCATGTACCTGGTGTACCTGGTGTTGGAGGGGACTGTATACCTGGTGTAGGAGGAGACCATGTACCTGGTGTAGGAGGAGACCATGTACCTGGTGTAGGAGGAGACCATGTACCTGGTGTACCCAGTGTAGGAGGGGACCATGTACCTGGTGTAGGAGGAGACCATGTACCTGGTGTACCCAGTGTAGGAAGGCACTGTGTACCTGGTGTACCTGGTGTTGGAGGGGACTGTACCTGGTGTAGGAGGAGACCATGTACCTGGTGTAGGAGGGGACCATGTACCTGGTGTAGGAGGGGACCATGTACCTGGTGTAGGAGGGGACCATGTACCTGGTGTAGGAGGAGACCATGTACCTGGTGTAGGAGGAGACCATGTATCTGGTGTACCTGGTGTACCCAGTGTAGGAGGGGACCGTGTACCAAGTGTAGGAGGAGACCATGTACCTGGTGTAGGAGGAGACCATGTACCTGGTGTAGGAGGGGACCATGTACCTGGTGTACCTGGTGAAGGAGGGGACTGTATACCTGGTGTAGGAGGAGACCATGTACCTGGTGTAGGAGGAGACCATGTACCTGGTGTAGGAGGAGACCATGTACCTGGTGTACCCAGTGTAGGAGGGGACCATGTACCTGGTGTAGGAGGTGACCATGTACCTGGTGTACCCAGTGTAGGAAGGCACTGTGTACCTGGTGTACCTGGTGTTGGAGGGGACTGTATACCCAGTGTAGGAGGGGACTATGTACCTGGTGTAGGAGGAGACCATGTACCTGGTGTAGGAGGAGACCATGTACCTGGTGTACCTGGTGTACCCAGTGTAGGAGGGGTCCGTGTACCCAGTGTAGGAGGAGACCATGTACCTGGTGTAGGAGGAGACCATGTACCTGGTGTAGGAGGGGACCATGTATCTGGTGTAGGAGGAGACCATGTACCTGGTGTAGGAGGGGACCATGTATCTGGTGTACCCAGTGTAGGAGGGGACCGTGTACCTGGTGTACCTGGTGTAGGAGGGGACCATTTACCTGGTGTTGGAGGGGACTGTATACCTGGTGTAGGAGAGGACCATGTACCTGGTGTAGGAGGAGACCATGTATCTGGTGTAGGAGGAGACCATGTATCTGGTGTACCCAGTGTAGGAGGGGACCGTGTACCTGGTGTACCTGGTGTTGGAGGGGACTGTATACCTGGTGTAGGAGGGGACCGTGTACCTGGTGTAGGAGGAGACCATGTACCTGGTGTAGGAGGAGACCATGTATCTGGTGTACCCAGTGTAGGAAGGGACTGTGTACCTGGTGTACCTGGTGTAGGAGGGGACTGTCTACCTGGTGTAGGAGGAGACCATGTATCTGGTATAGGAGGAGACCATGTACCTGGTGTAGGAGGAGACCATGTATCTGGTGTACCTAGTGTAGGAGGGGACTGTATACCTGGTGTAGGAGGGGACTGTGTACCTGGTGTAGGAGGGGACAGTGTACCTGGTGTACCTGGTGTAGGAGGGGACCATGTACCTGGTGTTGGAGGGGACTGTGTACCTGGTGTAGGAGGGGACTGTGTACCTGGTGTAGGAGGGGAGAGTGTACCTGGTGTACCTGGTGTTGGAGGGGACTGTATACCTGGTGTAGGAGGATACCATGTACCTGGTGTAGGAGGAGACCATGTACCTGGTGTAGGAGGAGACAATGTACCTGGTGTACCCAGTGTAGGAGGGGACCATGTACCTGGTGTAGGAGGAGACCATGTACCTGGTGTACCCAGTGTAGGAGGAGACCATGTACCTGGTGTAGGAGGAGACCATGTACCTGGTGTACCCAGTGTAGGAGGAGACCATGTACCTGGTGTAGGAGGAGACCATGTACCTGGTGTACCCAGTGTAGGAGGAGACCATGTACCTGGTGTAGGAGGAGACCATGTACCTGGTGTAGGAGAGGACCATGTACCTGGTGTAGGAGGGGACCGTGTACCTGGTGTACCTGGTGTTGGAGGGGACTGTATACCTGGTGTTTGAGGGGACCATGTACCTGGTGTAGGAGGAGACCATGTACCTGGTGTAGGAGGAGACCATGTATCTGGTGTACCCAGTGTAGGAGGGGACCGTGTACCTGGTGTACCTGGTGTTGGAGGGGACTGTATACCTGTTGTAGGAGGGGACCATGTACCTGGTGTAGGAGGAGACCATTTATCTGGTGTAGGAGGGGACCGTGTACCTGGTGTACCTGGTGTTGGAGGGGACAGTATACCTGGTGTTGGAGGGGACCATGTACCTGGTGTAGGAGGAGACCATGTACCTGGTGTAGGAGGAGACCATGTATCTGGTGTACCCAGTGTAGGAGGGGACCGTGTACCTGGTGTACCTGGTGTTGGAGGGGACTGTATACCTGGTGTAGGAGGGGACCATGTACCTGGTGTAGGAGGAGACCATGTATCTGGTGTAGGAGGGGACCGTGTACCTGGTGTAGGAGGGGACTGTATACCTGGTGTTGGAGGGGACTGTATACCTGGTGTAGGAGGAGACCATGTACCTGGTGTAGGAGGAGACCATGTATCTGGTGTACCCAGTGTAGGAGGGGACCGTGTACCTGGTGTACCTGCTTTTGGAGGGGACTGTCTACCTGGTGTAGGAGGAGACCATGTACCTGGTGTAGGAGGGGACCGTGTACCCAGTGTAGGAGGGGACCCTGTACCTGGTGTAGGAGGGGACCGTGTACCTGGTGTAGGAGGGGACCGTGTACCTGGTGTAGGGGGGGACAGTGTACCTGGTGTAGGAGGGGACCGTGTGCCTGGTGTAGGAGGAGACCATGTATCTGGTGTAGGAGGAGACCATGTATCTGGTGTAGGAGGAGACCATGTATCTGGTGTACCCAGTGTAGGAGGGGACTGTATACCTGGTGTAGGGGGGGACTGTGTACCTGGTGTAGGAGGGGACCATGTACCTGATGTAGGAGGGGACAGTGTACCTGGTGTAGGAGGAGACCATGTACCTGGTGTAGGAGGAGACCATGTATCTGGTGTAGGAGGGGACCGTGTACCTGGTGTACCTGGTGTTGGAGGGGACTGTCTACCTGGTGTAGGAGGAGACCATGTACCTGGTGTAGGAGGAGACCATGTATCTGGTGTAGGAGGGGACCGTGTACCTGGTGTAGGACGGGAACGTGTACCTGGTGTAGGAGGAGACCATGTATCTGGTGTAGGAGGGGACCGTGTACCTGGTGTTGGAGGGGACCGTGTACCTGGTGTAGGAGAGGACCATGTACCTTGTGTACCTGGTGTAGGAGGAGACCATGTACCTGGTGTAGGAGGGGACCATGTACCTGGTGTAGGAGGAGACCATGTACCTGGTGTAGGAGGAGACCATGTACCTGGTGTAGGAGGAGACCATGTACCTGGTGTACCCAGTGTAGGAGGGGACCGTGTACCTGGTGTAGGAGGGGACCATGTACCTGGTGTAGGAGGAGACCATGTACCTGGTGTAGGAGGAGACCATGTACCTGGTGTAGGAGGAGACCATGTACCTGGTGTAGGAGGGGACCATGTACCTGGTGTACCTGGTGTAGGAGGAGACCATGTACCTGGTGTAGGAGGAGACCATGTACCTGGTGTACCTGGTGTAGTAGGGGACCGTGTACCTGGAGTAGGAGGGGACCATGTACCTGGTGTACCTGGTGTAGGAGGAGACCATGTACCTGGTGTAGGAGGAGACAATGTACCTGGTGTAGGAGGAGACCATGTACCTGGTGTAGGAGGAGACCATGTACCTGGTGTAGGAGGGGACCATGTACCTGGTGTAGGAGGGGACCGTGTACCTGGTGTAGGAGGGGACCGTGTACCTGGTGTAGGAGGTGACCGTGTACCTGGTGTAGGAGGGGACCGTGTACCTGGTGTAGGAGGGGACCGTGTACCTGGTGTAGGAGGGGACCATGTACCTGGTGTAGGAGGAGACCATGTACCTGGTGTAGGAGGAGACCATGTACCTGGTGTAGGAGGAGACCATGTATCTGGTGTACCCAGTGTAGGAGGGGACCGTGTAACTGGTGTACCTGGTGTTGGAGGGGACTGTATACCTGGTGTAGGAGGGGACCGTCTACCTGGTGTACCTGGTGTAGGAGGGGACCATGTACCTGGTGTAGGAGGAGACCGTGTACCTGGTGTAGGAGGGGACCGTGTACCTGGTGTAGGAGGGGACCGTGTGCCTGGTGTAGGAGGGGACCGTGTACCTGGTGTAGGAGGGGACCGTGTACCTGGTGTATGAGGTGCTGGAACTGCTGGAGACTGTCCTCCTCTGCCAGGCCCTTGGAGCTGATGACAGAGAGGGCCTTGTCCAGATTACTGGCATCGAACTCAGCATCAGTTGCCACGTTCACCAGGAAGTTGTCCTTTGAGGTAGACACCTCACGGGCAATTCTCAGTAAGATTGTTGTAATTTGCAACAGTAGCTGTTGTGGACTGAAGTTGTATCTGAAACAAATCAGCATCAAGCAGAAATTGGGTGAGTATGTTTATACTATATTTTAAGTGTTACATAGTGTCCAGACATATGTAAGCTACCTATCTTTAGATATACAGGGCATTATGTATGACAAGACTAACTGAACACAGACCTTAAGTTTGTGTGTTTATTGCTTTATTCCAACTATACCATGTAACTATACAAGCCTGTACTTGCTTGACAGTTGTTGATGACATGCAAATCAGCCGAATCACTAAGCTTGACCAGCTGCTCTGACTATGTCACCTCACCAGCAGTCGAGTGTGGGACCTGTTATAACCAGGGTTCTCAAGTGGGTACAGCCCTATTGAATTCCACTATATTATTGTACTAGTTCATATCACATAGCATACAGGTGTACTTCTGAAGTCTGAACACTCCAGTGTTCCACTCATTATGATAAACATGAACTCTTCACGACTCACTTCTCAAAGTCTTTCACCTTGTAATCCTTTGCTTTGGATCCACATAGAGATTCTAAGAACCCACAGATCTGAAAACAAGTACACAGTACACATTATAGCTTGACCTAGCTGTTGTAGCACTAGGAACTTGTAGAACAATGATGATGAAGAATATTACAAAATGATTTTGTATATAAAATCATCACTGACAACTCTTTACACTTTTACAGAAATATTAAGATTAATACCAATACTCTTCCACGTGTATCAACCCTTACCCCTATACCAGTGGCTTCACAATCAGAGGGTTCGTATCCCTGGCAGGAAAGGTTAAACATTCTCATGACTTCATTTACACAAATAATCTGAATGTGAGAAAAGTGTAAGCCTACAGATAAATCAAAGAAACAATGGCTATGAGGCCAGAAGCTGGGACGAGACAACATGGCGCCCCTGGTCACGTTCATCTTGAGACGTGCACAACATCCCCTAGGATTCCAAGATAGATCCCCACTCACCACTGATGCTGCTCACGTTCATCTTGAGACGTGCACAACATCCCCTAGGATTCCAAGATAGATCCCCACTCACCACTGATGCTGCTCACGTTCATCTTGAGACGTGCACAACATCCCCTAGGATTCCAAGATAGATCCCCACTCACCACTGATGCTGCTCACGTTCATCTTGAGACGTGCACAACATCCCCTAGGATTCCAAGATAGATCCCCACTCACCACTGATGCTGCTCACGTTCATCTTGAGACGTGCACAACATCCCCTAGGATTCCAAGATAGATCCCCACTCACCACTGATGCTGCTCACGTTCATCTTGAGACGTGCACAACATCCCCTAGGATTCCAAGATAGATCCCCACTCACCACTGACGCTGCTCTCTTGGCTAGTGGTTGTCGTGTGAAGCATCTCGCCACCTCCTCCGCTCTCGTCAACAAGTCAATAAACTCCAGAGTCTGGTTAGCCTGGGGGATATGATCAGGTTGTTTTTTTCCATAACTCATTATTAGGTGACATTCAGACAACTGCATTATTATTCTACCATGACTTTGACAAAATACTTAATTCTGATTAGTCAATCCAAACTTTCAAATCACAATTTATTAACCACTCTGACTGAAATGTCTGTGCAATGCTGAAGCTAATATCTTCAGGACATTACTTATTTCTCAATCACCTTTTGAAATGAGGATATACTGTAGGTTACTCATTACAGCGATGCAGTACGTACACTATTCAAAATATGTGTGACAGGAACATTTGGCAGAGAACACAATAGAAATTGACAAAGAGAGTGTTACAGAAATCTTAGGAACAAGGGTGAGTCCAAAATGAGGTCTTCCTCTGTCTCCAAGTGTGACCCAATACGTAGTGCATCACAAAGAACAGAGTGATGTGAGTCAAGCTGACATCCTACTCCGACCACTGGACTCAACCCACACCAAATTCCTCATCACCTAACACAGAGACTCACAGTGAACACTTAGTTCTGTCATGATAGATTGGAAATACACATACAGCCTTGCGCTTTAAATGTAGAACTGTGTTTGGTTCCACATGCAAGGTGAAATCGGTGTTTTTCTTAACCATGTGAACATGTCTGAATATTTTCATACTAATATTTCAAAGTTATCAGCAACTTTAAAATTTGACAATTTCCAGTTTCAATTATCCTACTTCCTCATCGCTGTCAAATCTAAATTTTACACAACTCTACATTGAAAAGACAACATGTTTATCACCTAAGTGACATGTAAGTTACACAGAGCTGCTAAATATCTGTTAAAGACATAACAATAAGGTTAGCAAACAACTCCTGTCTCTGAACACAATAATTAAGACTTAAGAAATGTTAATCGAGGCCTTGAAAACTAGACACAAGCACTGAGTTTTGTTCCAGGAAATCATCATTAACACCCAGTATGTAGGGACCACGTATGGTTTTACAAGTTCGCAGCTGTTGGGGCATCTCCTTGTGTGACAGACAACCAAGCAACATGAAACACAGATACATGGGATTCAGGCATTGTGTTGTGTACCATGGCCATGAATCCTTTCCCTACGTGTTCCTCGCTCTTCAGGAAGTGTTCCTTGTCCTTCTTCTCCTGCAGAGACAGAGCATTCCACTCAGGTTCTGAAACATGGCCGATCACCTCCATTATCACATACTCCAATTTTATATAATGCAGTTTGAAAAGGCACTAGAGGTCAGCTATCAATGTCCACACATAAGGGGTATTTGATAATGAATGTCTGAATGGCTGAATAACTTGTTGGTAGACAAATCCAGTTAGATGGTATTGTTGGTGATGGAAATCATACCTCATATCAACCCTCACCATATATTTATCTGCCCACAGACCGTAAAAATAATCATTTAATCATAACATACCCAGGGTGTATTGCTTGGATTTCATCTCCCATTATCACATACCCAGGGTGTAATGCTAGGATTTCATCTCCCATTATCACATACCCAGGGTGTTATGCTAGGATTTCATCTCCCATTATCACATACCCAGGGTGAATTGCTTGGATTTCATCTCCCATTATCACATACCCAGGGTGTAATGCTAGGATTTCATCTCCCATTATCACATACCCAGGGTGTAATGCTAGGATTTCATCTCCCATTATCACATACCCAGGATGTATTGCTAGGATTTCATCTCCCATTATCACATACCCAGGGTGAATTGCTTGGATTTCATCTCCCATTATCACATACCCAGGGAGTATTGCGAGGATTTCATCTCCCATTATCACATACCCAGGGTGAATTGCTTGGATTTCATCTCCCATTATCACATACCCGGGATGTATTGCTTGGATTTCATCTCCCATTATCACAAACCCAGGGTGTATTGCTAGGATTTCATCTCCCATTATCACATACACAGGGTGTATTGCTAGGATTTCATCTCCGATATCACATTGTCAGGGTGTAATGCTAGGATTTCATCTCCCATTATCACAAACCCAGGGTGTAATGCTAGGATTTCATCTCCCATTATCACATACCCAGGGTGTATTGCTAGGATTTCATCTCCCATTATCACATACCCAGGGTGTAATGCTAGGATTTCATCTCCCATTATCACATACCCAGGGTGAATTGCTTGGATTTCATCTCCCATTATCACATACACAGGGTGCATTGCTAGGATTTCATCTCCCATTATCACATACACAGGGTGTAATGCTAGGATTTCATCTCCCATTATCACATACCCAGGGTGTAATGCTAGAATTTCATCTCCCATTATCACATACCCAGGGAGTATTGCTTGGATTTCATCTGCCATTATCACATACCCAGGGTGTAATGCTAGGATTTCATCTCCCATTATCACATTGTCAGGGTGTAATGCTAGGATTTCATCTCCCATTATCACATACCCACGGTGTAATGCTTGGATTTCATCTCCCATTATCACATACCCAGGGAGTATTGCTTGGATTTCATCTCCCATTATCACATACCCAGGGTGTAATGCTAATATTTCATCTCCCATTATCACATACCCAGGATGTAATGCTAGGATTTCATCTCCCATTATCACATACCCAGGGTGTAATGCTAGGATTTCATCTCCCATTATCACATACCCAGGGTGTAATGCTAGGATTTCATCTCCCATTATCACATACCCAGGGAGTATTGCTTGGATTTCATCTCCCATTATCACATACCCAGGGAGTATTGCTAGGATTTCATCTCCCATTATCACATACCCAGGGAGTATTGCTTGGATTTCATCTCCCATTATCACATACCCAGGGAGTATTGCTTGGATTTCATCTCCCATTATCACATTGTCAGGGTGTAATGCTAGGATTTCATCTCCCATTATCACATTGTCAGGGTGTAATGCTAGGATTTCATCTCCCATTATCACATACCCAGGGTGTAATGCTAGGATTTCATCTCCCATTATCACATTGTCAGGGTGTAATGCTAGGATTTCATCTCCCATTATCACATACCCATGGTATAATGCTTGGATTTCATCTCCCATTATCACATACCCAGGGAGTATTGCTAGGATTTCATCTCCCATTATCACATACCCAGGGTGTAATGCTAAGATTTCATCTCCCATTATCACATACCCAGGGAGTATTGCTTGGATTCCATCTCCCATTATCACATACCCAGGGAGTATTGCTAGGATTTCATCTCCCATTATCACATACCCAGGGAGTATTGCTTGGATTTCATCTCCCATTATCACATACCCAGGGAGTATTGCTTGGATTTCATCTCCCATTATCACATACCCAGGGTGTAATGCTAGGATTTCATCTCCCATTATCACATACACAGGGTGTATTGCTTGGATTTCATCTCCCATTATCACATACCCAGGGAGTATTGCGAGGATTTCATCTCCCATTATCACATACCCAGGGTGTAATGCTAGGATTTCATCTCCCATTATCACATACCCAGGGTGTATTGCTAGGATTTCATCTCCCATTATCACATACCCAGGGTGTAATGCTAGGATTTCATCTCCCATTATCACATACCCAGGGTGAATTGCTTGGATTTCATCTCCCATTATCACATACCCAGGGTGCATTGCTAGGATTTCATCTCCCATTATCACATTGTCAGGGTGTAATGCTAGGATTTCATCTCCCATTATCACATACCCAGGGTGTAATGCTAGGATTTCATCGCCCATTATCACATTCCCAGGGTGCATTGCTAGGATCTCATCTCCCATTATCACATACCCAGGGTGTAATGCTAGGATTTCATCTCCCATTATCACATACCCAGGGTGTAATGCTAGGATTTCATCTCCCATTATCACATACCCAGGGTGCATTGCTAGGATCTCATCACCCATTATCACATGCCAAGGGTGTATTGATCTCATCAATACACTGGTTGACACAATATTCCTACTTGCACCAACCTTGCATTAAGTGCTTTTTAACTTATCATTGATATTTATTGTCATAAATTGAATACCATTCTGTTTGGCCACTTCAATCTTCTTGATGTTGGCAAGCCGGGAGAGACTGTCGTGGAGCATGTACAGTAGTGTGTCTAGGATGGCTCCCAGGAAGTTCTGGCAACAGCAGTCAGCAGAATATTGAACTTGTGAGACTTAGCCTCTAACTACAACATGCAGTAAGAATATGACAGCACATACATGTCAGGTTTTTATGGCATGGATTGTTGTTCATGCTCTCTACCATTTGTTTGTTTGACCTGGTTTTATTACAGGTCACTATCATTTGTAGCATTGTTAACAAAATCCAGAATTTTGCAAACAAATATACAATATATTTCAACGTGCTTAGATGGTAAGGTCATATTGTCTATTGAATTTGTCTGCGGTGATTGTGCCCTTCCATCAGGCAAGATTTTCTGGCTGCATCTCTTAACATTGGCATTCATGAGCTGATAGCATTTTCAGGTGAAACAGCAAGAAAATCCATAAAGTAATGTGATTATTGTTAAACAAGCGTTCTGTGAACGCTGATGTATGGGATAGGGCATTTTCCTGCTGTAGCCAAAATGGAATGTTTCTTTGTCCTATGGCAGGCTCTAAGAGGCCTTCCTGATGAATTTGACAATACTTTTCTGTGTTAATGTTAGCCTCCACAAAGATTAGGAGAGTGACTCCCACCATAGAGATATCACCATGCACTTTCAGGCACAGAGAAAAGGTTAAAACCCAATTCATGTAAATTCCTCCTCTCGGACATATTTTCCCGGGGGTCTTGAAGAACTGGAACAGTGACTCATCTGTAAGAATCACATTAGCCAAACTTTCAGTGACTTTACCCCCACACCAGGCCAGGCACTTCTAGTAGAGTTCTACTAACTGTCCATTCTGATGTCAAAGACCCCCTCTTCTCCCAATTTCCAAAGCAAGTCGTTTTTAGGAAAACATCAGTTGAGTGATGGCAATGGGTCGCAATGCATTACTGCCTGAGCCAAACTTCTTTAGATTACTGTAGACAGTAGCAAGAGGAATGATGTTCATGCTATAAAACTCGGAATTTTGTACAAATGTGTACATATAATAGGGACGGTTTCTTTTGTCAAAATCTGACATTGGAGGATCCGTTAAGATACCGTCTGCTCGTGTGACCATCACATGACTATCCCTAACAACAAGGGAGATGACTCTGCAGATCACCATGTGAAGCTATACAAATTTTCATTGATCAAAACATTGTTATCAATCTTTTAATTGTATACAATTTATTTCCGGATTTTTTTGCACAATACTATAGCTGTAACACTGTTAATGGTGCTATCACTCAAGCACTGATCGTTCCGACACACGAATTTACAAGCCACCATGATAAAGTAGTAATGTTGCAGACTGTGCTATACAATATTCTGACACATCAATTTTCAACACATGGTCGACTGAAACAAAAATCTGCAAGTGAGTAATGGAACTGACAACCTCTTCAAAGTAGCACAAGCCCTACATTTCCCAGGTTCCTTTGAGAGCACACAAACACTCCTACCTGAAATATCTCCTTCTCACACTGCTGGACGATGGATGTCCGGCAATCAGCCCTCCTCCACAGGTGTTCGATCAGTTTGCCAATCTCAGATCTGACATCAGAAACAAATGAGTCAGACATTTGGGAGACTATGGTGTCATGGGTTAAGATCAAGAGCCAAACCATATTTCCTTTGTAACAACACTCTAGAAGCAGAAGGTGGTGTTAGTGACCAAATATCATGAATTAGGTTCATATGTCCCCTCTACACCATTTACTGACTACTGACTACTCTCCATTTATATGACAAAGTTGTGAGGATTAATTCTCACCTTGCCGAGTATTTGTCAAACTCATCCTTGTCCACATCCAGGCCCTCAACGACGTCAACGCTGACATAGGTTCTGAGGAGAGCTGGGCCCAGCTGGTTCTGTACAGATGGACATGTCTCCACCATCGCAGCCAGGTCAGACATCAGACCGGAGCCCCATCCTCTGTGTACACACCAAGACACCATTACATAGAGTCAGACATCAGACCTCTGTCACAACCTCCGTGTACACAAGACACCATTACATAGTCAGACATCAGACCTCTGTCACAACCTCCGTGTACACAAGACACCATTACATAGAGCCAGACCTCTGTCACAACCTCCATATACACAAGACACCATTACATAGAGCCATACCTCTGTCACAACCTCCGTGTACACAAGACACCATTTCATAGAGCCAGACATCAGACCTCTGTCACAACCTCTATGTACACAAGACACCATTACATAGAGCCAGACCTCTGTCACAACCTCCATATACACAAGACACCATTACATAGAGTCAGACCTCTGTTACAAACTCCATGTACACAAGACACCATTACATAGAGCCAGACCTCTGTCACAAACTCCATGTACACAAGACACCATTACATAGAGCAAGACATCAGACCTCTGTCACAACCTCCGTGTACACAAGACACCATTACATAGAGCCAGACCTCTGTCACAACCTCCATGTACACAAGACACCATTCCATAGAGTCAGACCTCTGAAACAACCTCCATGTACACAAGACACCATTACATAGAGCCAGACCTCTGTCACAACCTCCGTGTACACAAGACACCATTACATAGAGCCAGAGATCAGACCTCTGTCTCACAACCTCCATGTACACAAGACACTATTACATAGAGTCAGACCTCTGTCACAACCTCCGTGTACACAAGACACCATTACATAGAGTCAGACATCAGACCTCTGTCACAACCTCCATGTACACAAGACACCATTACATAGAGCCAGACCTCTGAAACAACCTCCATGTACACAAGACACCATTACATAGAGTCAGACATCAGACCTCTGTCACAACCTCCATGTACACAAGACACCATTACATAGAGTCAGACATCAGACCTCTGTCCCACCTCAATGTACACAAGACACCATTACATAGAGCCAGACATCAGACCTCTGTCACAACCTCCATGTACACAAGACACCATTACATAGAGTCAGACATCAGACCTCTGTCCCACCTCAATGTACACAAGACACCATTACATAGAGTCAGACATCAGACCTCTGTCACAACCTCCGTGTACACAAGACACCATTACATAGAGCCAGAGATCAGACCTCTGTCACAACCTCCGTGTACACAAGACACCATTACATAGAGACAGACCTCTGTCACAACCTCCGTGTACACAAGACACCATTACATAGAGTCAGACATCAGACCTCTGTCACAACCTCCATGTACACAAGACACCATTACATAGAGTCAGACATCAGACCTCTGTCCCACCTCAATGTACACAAGACACCATTACGTAGAGTCAGACATCAGACCTCTGTCACAACCTCCGTGTACACAAGACACCATTACATAGATCCAGAGATCAGACCTCTGTCACAACCTCCGTGTACACAAGACACCATTACATAGAGTCAGACATCAGACCTCTGTCACAACCTCCATGTACACAAGACACCATTACATAGAGTCAGACATCAGACCTCTGTCACAACCTCCATGTACACAAGACACCATTACATAGAGTCAGACATCAGACCTCTGTCACAACCTCCGTGTACACAAGACACCATTACATAGAGTCAGACATCAGACCTCTGTCACAACCTCCATGTACACAAGACACCATTACATAGAGCCAGACATCAGACCTCTGTCACAACCTCCATGTACACAAGACACCATTACATAGAGTCAGACATCAGACCTCTGTCCCACCTCAATGTACACAAGACACCATTACATAGAGTCAGACATCAGACCTCTGTCACAACCTCCATGTACACAAGACACCATTACATAGAGCCAGACCTCTGTCACAACCTCCATGTACACAAGACACCATTACATAGAGTCAGACATCAGACCTCTGTCCCACCTCAATGTACACAAGACACCATTACATGGAGCCAGACCTCTGTCACAACCTCCGTGTACACAAGACACCATTACATAGAGCCAGAGATCAGACCTCTGTCACAACCTCCGTGTACACAAGACACCATTACATAGTTTCAGACATCAGACCTCTGTCACAACCTCCGTGTACACAAGACACCATTACATAGAGCCAGACATCAGACCTCTGTCACAACCTCCGTGTACACAAGACACCATTACATAGAGTCAGACCTCTGTCACAACCTCCATGTACACAAGACACCATTACATAGAGCCAGACCTCTGTCACAACCTCCGTGTACACAAGACACCATTACATAGAGCCAGACCTCTGTCACAACCTCCATGTACACAAAACACCATTACATAGAGTCAGACATCAGACCTCTGTCCCACCTCAATGTACACAAGACACCATTACGTAGAGTCAGACATCAGACCTCTGTCACAACCTCCGTGTACACAAGACACCATTACATAGATCCAGAGATCAGACCTCTGTCACAACCTCCGTGTACACAAGACACCATTACATAGAGTCAGACATCAGACCTCTGTCACAACCTCCATGTACACAAGACACCATTACATAGAGTCAGACATCAGACCTCTGTCACAACCTCCGTGTACACAAGACACCATTACATAGAGTCAGACATCAGACCTCTGTCACAACCTCCATGTACACAAGACACCATTACATAGAGCCAGACATCAGACCTCTGTCACAACCTCCATGTACACAAGACACCATTACATAGAGTCAGACATCAGACCTCTGTCCCACCTCAATGTACACAAGACACCATTACATAGAGTCAGACATCAGACCTCTGTCACAACCTCCATGTACACAAGACACCATTACATAGAGCCAGACCTCTGTCACAACCTCCATGTACACAAGACACCATTACATAGAGTCAGACATCAGACCTCTGTCCCACCTCAATGTACACAAGACACCATTACATGGAGCCAGACCTCTGTCACAACCTCCGTGTACACAAGACACCATTACATAGAGCCAGAGATCAGACCTCTGTCACAACCTCCGTGTACACAAGACACCATTACATAGTTTCAGACATCAGACCTCTGTCACAACCTCCGTGTACACAAGACACCATTACATAGAGCCAGACATCAGACCTCTGTCACAACCTCCGTGTACACAAGACACCATTACATAGAGTCAGACCTCTGTCACAACCTCCATGTACACAAGACACCATTACATAGAGCCAGACCTCTGTCACAACCTCCGTGTACACAAGACACCATTACATAGAGTCAGACATCAGACCTCTGTCACAACCTCTGTGTACACAAGACACCATTACATAGAGTCAGACATCAGACCTCTGTCACAACCTCCATGTACACAAGACACCATTACATAGAGTCAGACATCAGACCTCTGTCCCACCTCAATGTACACAAGACACCATTACATAGAGCCAGACCTCTGTCACAAACTCCGTGTACACAACACACCATTACATAGAGTCAGACCTCTGTCACAACCTCCGTGTACACAAGACACCATTACATAGAGCCAGACCTCTGTCACAACCTCCGTGTGCACAAGACACCATTGCATAGAGCCAGACCTCTGAAACAACCTCCATGTACACAAGACACCAATATATAGAGTCAGACATCAGACCTCTGTCACAACCTCCATATACACAAGACACCATTACATAGAGTCAGACATCAGACCTCTGTCCCACCTCAATGTACACAAGACACCATTTCATAGAGTCAGACATCAGACCTCTGTCCCACCTCAATGTACACAAGACACCATTACATAGAGTCAGACATCAGACCTCTGTCACAACCTCCATGTACACAAGGCACCATTACATAGAGCCAGACCTCTGTCACAAACTCCGTGTACACAAGACACCATTACATAGAGTCAGACCTCTGTCACAACTTCCATGTACACAAGACACCATTACATAGTTTCAGATATCAGACCTCTGTCTCACAACCTCCATGTACACAAGACACCATTTCATAGAGCCAGACCTCTGTCACAACCTCCGTGTACACAAGACACCATTACATAGAGTCAGACATCAGACCTCTGTCACAACCTCCATGTACACAAGACACCATTACATAGAGCCAGACCTCTGAAACAACCTCCATGTACACAAGACACCATTACATAGAGTCAGACATCAGACCTCTGTCACAACCTCCGTGTACACAAGACACCATTACATAGAGTCAGACATCAGACCTCTGTCCCACCTCAATGTACACAAGACACCATTACATAGAGCCAGACCTCTGTCACAAACTCCGTGTACACAACACACCATTACATAGAGTCAGACCTCTGTCACAACCTCCGTGTACACAAGACACCATTACATAGAGCCAGACCTCTGTCACAACCTCCGTGTGCACAAGACACCATTGCATAGAGCCAGACCTCTGAAACAACCTCCATGTACACAAGACACCAATATATAGAGTCAGACATCAGACCTCTGTCACAACCTCCATATACACAAGACACCATTACATAGAGTCAGACATCAGACCTCTGTCCCACCTCAATGTACACAAGACACCATTTCATAGAGTCAGACATCAGACCTCTGTCCCACCTCAATGTACACAAGACACCATTACATAGAGTCAGACATCAGACCTCTGTCACAACCTCCATGTACACAAGGCACCATTACATAGAGCCAGACCTCTGTCACAAACTCCGTGTACACAAGACACCATTACATAGAGTCAGACCTCTGTCACAACCTCCATGTACACAAGACACCATTACATAGAGCCAGAGATCAGACCTCTGTCACAACCTCCGTGTACACAAGACACCATTACATAGAGTCAGACCTCTGTCACAACCTCCGTGTACACAGGACACCATTTCATAGAGCCAGACCTCTGTCACAACCTCCGTGTACACAAGACACCATTACATAGAGCCAGACCTCTGTCACAACCTCCATGTACACAGGACACCATTTCATAGAGCCAGACCTCTGTCACAACCTCCGTGTACACAAGACACCATTACATAGAGCCAGACCTCTGTCACAACCTCCATGTACACAGGACACCATTTCATAGAGCCAGACCTCTGTCACAACCTCCGTGTACACAAGACACCATTACATAGAGCCAGACCTCTGAAACAACCTCCATGTACACAAGACACCATTACATAGAGTCAGACATCAGACCTCTGTCACAACCTCCATGTACACAAGACACCATTTCATAGAGCCAGACCTCTGTCACAACCTCCATGTACACAAGACACCATTTCATAGAGCCAGACCTCTGAAACAACCTCCATGTACACAAGACACCATTACATAGAGTCAGAGATTAGACCTCTGTCACAACCTCCGTGTACACAAGACACCATTACATAGTTTCAGACATCAGACCTCTGTCTCACAACCTCCATGTACACAAGACACCATTACATAGAGCCAGACCTCTGTCACAACCTCCGTGTACACAAGACACCATTACATAGAGTCAGACATCAGACCTCTGTCACAACCTCCATGTACACAAGACACCATTACATAGAGCCAGACCTCTGTCACAACCTCCATGTACACAAGACACCATTACATAGAGTCAGACATCAGACCTCTGTCACAACCTCCGTGTACACAAGACACCATTACATAGTCAGACATCAGACCTCTGTCACAACCTCTGTGTACACAAGACACCATTACATAGTCAGACATCAGACCTCTGTCACAACCTCCATGTACACAAGACACCATTACATAGAGTCAGACATCAGACCTCTGTCACAACCTCCGTGTACACAACACACCATAACATAAAGTCAGACATCAGACCTCTGTCACAACCTCCATGTACACAAGACACCACTACATAGAGCCAGAGATCAGACCTATGTCACAACCTCCGTGTACACAAGACACCATTACATAGAGACAGACCTCTGTCACAACCTCCGTGTACACAAGACACCATTACATAGAGTCAGACATCAGACCTCTGTCACAACCTCCATGTACACAAGACACCATTACATAGAGTCAGACATCAGACCTCTGTCACAACCTCAATGTACACAAGACACCATTACATAGAGCCAGACCTCTGTCACAACCTCCGTGTACACAAGACACCATTACATAGAGTCAGACATCAGACCTCTGTCCCACCTCAATGTACACAAGACACCATTACATAGAGCCAGACCTCTGTCACAACCTCCGTGTACACAAGACACCATTACATAGAGTCAGACATCAGACCTCTGTCACAACCTCCATGTACACAAGACACCATTACATAGAGTCAGACATCAGACCTCTGTCACAACCTCAATGTACACAAGACACCATTACATAGAGCCAGACCTCTGTCACAACCTCCGTGTACACAAGACACCATTACGTAGAGTCAGACATCAGACCTCTGTCACAACCTCCATGTACACAAGACACCATTACATAGAGTCAGACATCAGACCTCTGTCCCACCTCAATGTACACAAGACACCATTACGTAGAGTCAGACATCAGACCTCTGTCACAACCTCCGTGTACACAAGACACCATTACATAGAGCCAGAGATCAGACCTCTGTCACAACCTCTGTGTACACAAGACACCATTACATAGAGTCAGACATCAGACCTCTGTCACAACCTCTGTGTACACAAGACACCATTACATAGAGTCAGACATCAGACCTCTGTCTCACAACCTCCATGGACACAACACACCATTACATAGAGTCAGACCTCTGTCACAACCTCCGTGTACACAAGACACCATTACATAGAGTCAGACATCAGACCTCTGTCACAACCTCCATGTACACAAGACACCATTACATAGAGTCAGACATCAGACCTCTGTCCCACCTCAATGTACACAAGACACCATTACATAAACCAGACCTCTGTCACAACCTCCGTGTACACAAGACACCATTACATAGAGTCAGACATCAGACCTCTGTCACAACCTCCGTGTACACAAGACACCATTACATAGAGTCAGACATCAGACCTCTGTCACAACCTCCGTGTACACAAGACACCATTACATAGAGTCAGACATCAGACCTCTGTCACAACCTCCGTGTACACAAGACACCATTACATAGTTTCAGACATCAGACCTCTGTCACAACCTCCGTGTACACAAGACACCATTACATAGAGCCAGACATCAGACCTCTGTCACAACCTCCGTGTACACAAGACACCATTACATAGAGTCAGACCTCTGTCACAACCTCCATGTACACAAGATACCATTACATAGAGCCAGACCTCTGTCACAACCTCCGTGTACACAAGACACCATTACATAGAGCCAGAGATCAGACCTCTGTCACAACCTCCGTGTACACAAGACACCATTACATAGTTTCAGACATCAGACCTCTGTCACAACCTCCGTGTACACAAGACACCATTACATAGAGCCAGACATCAGACCTCTGTCACAACCTCCGTGTACACAAGACACCATTACATAGAGTCAGACCTCTGTCACAACCTCCATGTACACAAGACACCATTACATAGAGCCAGACCTCTGTCACAACCTCCATGTACACAAGACACCATTACATAGAGCCAGACATCAGACCTCTGTCACAACCTCCGTGTACACAAGACACCATTACATAGAGCCAGACCTCTGTCACAACCTCCATGTACACAAGACACCATTTCATAGAGCCAGACCTCTGTCACAACCTCCATATACACAAGACACCATTACATAGAGTCAGACATCAGACCTCTGTCACAACCTCCATGTACACAAGACACCATTTCATAGAGCCAGACCTCTGTCACAACCTCCGTGTACACAAGACACCATTACATAGAGTCAGACATCAGACCTCTGTCACAACCTCCGTGTACACAAGACACCATTACATAGAGTCAGACATCAGACCTCTGTCACAACCTCTGTGTACACAAGACACCACCCAAACTCTCATTTCATATATGCTACTTTTTACACTTGAGCACATATACTATTATAATACATAATATATGAAAGGAGTGATCTTGTCCCTTCAGATGTCCCTGATATGACCCCAGTGAAGATTTACTGAAATTACTTTTAGAAATCAGTCATGATTAATAATTACAAGGAAAATTCTTTATCTGAGTCATCTCAGCATCTTCTCATTCTATGGAGGATCACTTGGCTGTGACAGCAAGTACACCGCTGCCCTGCCTGTCTTGGCTGTGGCTTGGTTCACCAGGATGAGGGGGACACTCAGGTAACGAGGCACTCAGGGTATCGTTGTCTTGACATATCTTTATAGATATTGACCATGTTGATATTGGTTTGTCACTGATGAAGATTTAAGAAGTTAAATGCTCTACTATCACCCCAGAATTATCTAGAAACAACATGGTACCTACCTTGAACTTTGCCTTTTAGATGAGTTGACAAACTGGAGCAAACAGGAGACCATCTTACTGGCAGGGATAGGACCAGGCATGAGGTCAGGCCTCTCCAGAAGACTCACACAGCAGTCAACAAAGGTTGAGATCTGTGGACAGAGGGTAGAGGGAGTAATACAGGTCCTCAACAACGATACATGTTACTGCATTTACAGGTCCATAGGTACTGGTATCCATGGAAACTTACTGAAAGACCCTGTAGAATTCCCTTGTGGACATGGACTGCATGGGTGGCGACAAACCGGAACCAGATGGCCATATCCTTCACACAGAACTCTGGTATCATGGCAAAAGCTTTCTTCTCTGCCTTCACTTTCTCCTCCTCCTTACATGATCCCTAGGAAAGAAAAAGAAATCTAGTAAATGTAGCAAATGTGTAATGGCAACACAGGTGATACATATTAACGTGTCTGATCAAGGATATTTTGATAACTTATGTGGAACTAGATGGAAACTAGAAAGGTGTTTGCAGTTCATATAAAAACAGAAGCAGTCCCAACCAACCCCACCATTTCCTGAATATCCCAAAACTCTACCATCAGAAACATATATCATGAGCCATTTTGACCTCTCCACACCAGGTGACAGTCAACATCAGGTGACAGTCAACACCAGGTGACAAATCACTTCCGGTTTTGGAAAACACATTGTCAGTGCAGTAGTAGATCATTTAAACAGAAAAGACTATGCCTCTACCTACCATAATAACAAAGTAATAAGCACAACCAGTTCAATCATGTCACTTACAGTTTGTGAAAAAACACATGTCCAATGCAGCTCAACATTGAAAGAGAAGAAGAACATGCCTCAAGCTACTGTAACAACCAAGTTATGAACACTTCCAGTTTGATGACTGACCTTGGCCTTCAATTTCTGCCATGAACTGGATAGAGATCATGTATACATACAGTTTTGTCAAATTTCATCCATTAACTCTCAAGATATTATGTATCCACAAGCTTATTGTGACATATGTTTTCCACTGAGATACCCTGACCTTCAATGTCATGCAATCACTTGCAAGAACATTTCTTCCTGCGAACTATGGTTGTGTGACAAATAAGAATTTTCCATACCATGCTAACATTATTTCCCAAAAGAAACTATTTACAAATGAGATATTGTGGCAACACCGTTTTCCAACTCCAAAAACAGATTTGCCTGCTGTGACCTTGAAAATGGGGTCAAGGTCACCAAATCTGACAGGTGTATGCGGTGTCTGTATATACACTATAGTTCCAAATATGAAGACAATCCAGCGATTAGTTCTTGAGATATCGCGGCAACACCGTTTTCTAACTCCAAAAGCAGATTTGCCTGCTGTGACCTTGAAAATGGGGTCAAGGTCACCAAAACCGACTGGTGTCTGCGGTGTCTGTATATACACCATAGTTCCAAATATGAAGACAATCCAGTGTTTAGTTCTTGAGATATCGCGGCAACACCGTTTTCCAACTCCAAAAGCAGATTTGTCTGCTGTGACCTTGAAAATGGGATCAAGGTCACCAAAACCGACTGGTGTCTGCGGAGTCTGTATATACACTATAGTTCCAAATATGAAGACAATCCAGTGTTTAGTTCTTGAGATATCGCGGCAACACCGTTTTCCAACTCTAAAAGCAGATTTGTCTGCTGTGACCTTGAAAATGGGATCAAGGTCACCAAAACCGACTGGTGTCTGCGGAGTCTGTATATACACCATAGTTCCAAATATGAAGACAATCCAGTGTTTAGTTCTTGAGATATCGCGGCAACACCGTTTTCCAACTCCAAAAGCAGATTTGTCTGCTGTGACCTTGAAAATGGGGTCAAGGTCACCAAAACCGACTGGTGTCTGCGGAGTCTGTATATACACCATAGTTCCAAATATGAAGACAATCCAGTGTTTAGTTCTTGAGATATCGCGGAAACACCGTTTTCCAACTCTAAAAGCAGATTTGTCTGCTGTGACCTTGAAAATGGGATCAAGGTCACCAAAACCGACTGGTGTCTGCGGAGTCTGTATATACACCATAGTTCCAAATATGAAGACAATCCAGTGTTTAGTTCTTGAGATATCGCGGCAACACCGTTTTCCAACTCCAAAAGCAGATATGCCTGCTGTGACCTTGAAAATGGGGTCAAGGTCACCAAAACCGACTGGTGTCTGCGGAGTCTGTATATACACCATAGTTCCAAATATGAAGACAATCCAGTGTTTAGTTCTTGAGATATCGCGGCAACAAACAGGTGGGACGTACGGACGGACGTACGGACGTACGGACGTACGGACGTACGTACGGACGGTCGTGAATACTATATCCCCCGCTTCGCGCTTTCGCGCGGCGGGGGATAATAATTTCATGAGTGAATCACCTTCAAAGCTACTCATACCTTTAAACAGACATTACACATGACAGGTATTGACTTAATTATGGACAGTCAAACATAAGTGATTGGATGATGCTTAGATTTATCATGAATTAATCTGAAATTTCATGAAATTTAAACCATTTTTCACAGTTTGACCTTCAGTGACAGAGACCCCACCTTAAGAGTTCATGTGTACTAAGTTTACCCAAAGTCCATTCACAAATCTTCAAGTTGTCACACACACAAGCTTTATTTATTCCCAGTTCATACTGAGTGTCTGGTATATAGGAAGTCTACCATCTGTCATTAGAGTGTGGTTGAAAAAAAAACAATTGCAGTGGCAGTGAGTTCAAATTCCAGGAAACAGCGCTACTTAACAATGGTAATGAATGGCACTGACCTCTCCAGCTACCTTCAAAAGATTCTGCAGTAGTTGAGCCTGACAGAGATAGAACATTGTGACACTACGGACAAGTTCTTGGTCACACAGACAGGCATCCCACATCAGCGTCAGCAACTGAAACAGATGCAGGTGACTAACATAGACCATAGGGACTACAGATGAACAGATGCATGGCACCAGCATTTGAATGTACATAATGAAATCTAACTGCAATAGAGAAATAAATACTTTTCTGTTTACTTACAACATGCTGGTTGCGTACCTCCTCTTCAAGATTGCTTCCCTTTACAGCCTCCATTTTCAACTGCAGGTCTCTGCAAAGAAACATTACAAAGATATGTTCATAAAATGTCAAGTAGCTATTGAACATCCTGTTGTAGTGTGTGATGGTAGGTAGGACACCCACACTGAGGGCTACTTACCTCTGCATCCTGTTGTAGTGTGTGATGGTAGGTAGGACGCCCCCACTGAGGGCTACTTACCTCTGCATCCTGTTGTAGTGTGTGATGGTAGGTAGGACACCCCCACTGAGGGCTACTCACCTCTGCATCCTGTTGTAGTGTGTGATGGTAGGTAGGACGCCCCCACTGAGGGCTACTTACCTCTGCATCCTGTTGTAGTGTGTGATGGTAGGTAGGACGCCCCCACTGAGGGCTACTCACCTCTGCATCCTGTTGTAGTGTGTGATGGTAGGTAGGACGCCCACACTGAGGGCTACTTACCTCTGCATCCTGTTGTAGTGTGTGATGGTAGGTAGGACGCCCACACTGAGGGCTACTTACCTCTGCATCCTGTTGTAGTGTGTGATGGTAGGTAGGACGCCCACACTGAGGGCTATTCACCTCTGCATCCTGTTGTAATGTGTGATGGTAGGTAGGACACCCACACTGAGGGCTACTTACCTCTGCATCCTGTTGTAGTGTGTGATGGTAGGTAGGACGCCCCAATTAGGGGTACTCACCTCTGCATCCTGTTGTAGTGTGTGATGGTAGGTAGGACGCCCACACTGAGGGCTACTTACCTCTGCATCCTGTTGTAGTGTGTGATGGTAGGTAGGACGCCCACACTGAGGGCTACTCACCTCTGCATCCTGTTGTAGTGTGTGATGGTAGGTAGGACACCCACACTGAGGGCTACTTACCTCTGCATCCTGTTGTAGTGTGTGATGGTAGGTAGGACGCCCACACTGAGGGCTACTTACCTCTGCATCCTGTTGTAGTGTGTGATGGTAGGTAGGACACCCACACTGAGGGCTACTTACCTCTGCATCCTGTTGTAGTGTGTGATGGTAGGTTGGATGCCCACATTGAGGGCTACTCACCTCTGCATCCTGTTGTAGTGTGTGATGGTAGGTTGGATGCCCACATTGAGGGCTACTCACCTCTGCATCCTGTTGTAGTGTCTGATGGTAGGTAGGACGCCCACACTGAGGGCTACTAACCTCTGCATCCTGTTGTAGTGTCTGATGGTAGGTAGGACGCCCACACTGAGGGCTATTCACCTCTGCATCCTGTTGTAGTGTGTGATGGTAGGTAGGACGCCCACACTGAGGGCTACTAACCTCTGCATCCTGTTGTAATGTGTGATGGTAGGTAGGACGCCCACACTGAGGGCTACTTACCTCTGCATCCTGTTGTAGTGTGTGATGGTAGGTTGGATGCCCACATTGAGGGCTACTCACCTCTGCATCCTGTTGTAGTGTGTGATGGTAGGTTGGATGCCCACATTGAGGGCTACTCACCTCTGCATCCTGTTGTAGTGTCTGATGGTAGGTAGGACGCCCACACTGAGGGCTACTAACCTCTGCATCCTGTTGTAGTGTCTGATGGTAGGTAGGACGCCCACACTGAGGGCTATTCACCTCTGCATCCTGTTGTAGTGTGTGATGGTAGGTAGGACGCCCACACTGAGGGCTACTAACCTCTGCATCCTGTTGTAGTGTGTGATGGTAGGTAGGACGCCCACACTGAGGGCTACTAACCTCTGCATCCTGTTGTAGTGTGTGATGGTAGGTAGGACGCCCACACTGAGGGCTACTAACCTCTGCATCCTGTTGTAGTGTGTGATGGTAGGTAGGACACCCACACTGAGGGCTACTAACCTCTGCATCCTGTTGTAGTGTCTGATGGTAGGTAGGACGCCCACACTGAGGGCTATTCACCTCTGCATCCTGTTGTAGTGTGTGATGGTAGGTAGGACGCCCACACTGAGGGCTACTAACCTCTGCATCCTGTTGTAGTGTGTGATGGTAGGTAGGACGCCCACACTGAGGGCTACTAACCTCTGCATCCTGTTGTAGTGTCTGATGGTAGGTAGGACACCCACACTGAGGGCTATTCACCTCTGCATCCTGTTGTAGTGTGTGATGGTAGGTAGGACGCCCACACTGAGGGCTACTTACCTCTGCATCCTGTTGTAGTGTGTGATGGTAGGTAGGACACCCACACTGAGGGCTACTTACCTCTGCATCCTGTTGTAGTGTGTGATGGTAGGTAGGATGCCCACACTGAGGGCTACTAACCTCTGCATCCTGTTGTAGTGTCTGATGGTAGGTAGGACACCCACACTGAGGGCTACTTACCTCTGCATCCTGTTGTAGTGTGTGATGGTAGGTAGGACGCCTACACTGAGGGCTCTCTGGTTCAAGTGGAAGCATTCTGTGATGAAGTTGTGTTGGGACTGTAGATCCTCTGGGACAGTGCCCACTTCTCGCTCTTGAGATTTGTCACTCACTGAAACCATTTTGCTTAAGTAAGTATGTGAAAGATTGTAAAAGAAAATGATGAAAATGAAATCACTACCTGATATCATGTAGGTTTGAAAAGCGACAATCTTGCAAATATTTCTTTTCATTGAAGTGCAGCATGTACATACCTTTTTATAAGGCTGAACATGAGACATGAACATGATGTTATGTTATAATGTGCATGATCATTAAGATGACATAAAATACAGCAGTGACACACCTATCTGTCCCCCAGCGAGACATGTCTCAAAGTCGTAGTTGAGCCGACACGCCTCTGACGTGGAATATCCCAGGTTGATCTTGTCCAGCTTGGCCTTGTCACTGTAGATGGGCAGGAAGAACTCCAGCAGCATCCCACAGAAGTTCATCATGTAGGCTGACAAACAACAGGGAACAAGTATAGTGGGCAACATTACAGTTATATCATATAGGCTGATAAACAACAGGGAACAAGTATAGTGTGCAACATCACAGCTACATCATATAGGCTGATAAACAACAGGGAACAAGTATAATGTGCAACATCACAGCTACATCATATAGGCTGACAAACAACAGGGAACAAGTATAGTGTGCAACATTACAGCTACATCATATAGGCTGATAAACAACAGGGAACAAGTATAGTGTGCAACATCACAGCTACATCATGTAGGCTGACAAACAACAGGGAACAAGTATAGTGTGCAACATTACAGCTTCATCACATAGGCTGACAAACAGGGATCAAGTATAGTGTGCAACATTACAGCTACATCGTACAGGCTGACAAACAACAGGGAACAAGTATAGTGGGCAACATTACAGCTATATCATATAGGCTGATAAACAACAGGGATCAAGTATAGTGTGCAACATTACAGTTACATCATATAGGCTGATAAACAACAGGGAACAAGTATAGTGGGCAACATTACAGCTACATCGTATAGGCTGATAAACAACAGGGAACAAGTATAGTGTGCAACATTACAGTTACATCATATAGGCTGATAAACAACAGGGAACAAGTATAGTGGGCAACATTACAGCTACATCGTATAGGCTGATAAACAACAGGGAACAAGTATAGTGTGCATATTACAGTTACATCATATAGGCTGATAAACAACAGGGAACAAGTATAGTGTGCAACATTACAGTTACATCATATAGGCTGATAAACAACAGGGAACAAGTATAGTGGGCAACATTACAGCTACATCATATAGGCTGATAAACAACAGGGAACAAGTATAGAGGGCAACATTACAGCTACATCATATAGGCTGTCAAACAGGGATCAAGTATAGTGGGCAACATTACAGCTACATCATATAGGCTGACAAACAACAGGGAACAAGTATAGTGTGCAACATTACAGCTACATCATATAGGCTGATAAACAACAGGGAACAAGTATAGTGTGCAAAATTACAGCTACATCGTATAGGCTGATAAACAACAGGGAACAAGTATCGTGTGCAACATTACAGTTACATCATATAGGCTGATAAACAACAGGGAACAAGTATAGTGGGCAACATTACAGCTACATCGTATAGGCTGATAAACAACAGGAAACAAGTATAGTGGGCAACATTACAGCTACATCATATAGGCTGATAAACAACAGGGAACAAGTATAGTGTGCAACATTACAGCTACATCATATAGGCTGACAAACAGGGATCAAGTATAGTGTGCAACATTACAGCTACATCATATAGGCTGATAAACAACAGGGAACAAGTATAGTGGGCAACATTACAGCTACATCATATAGGCTGTCAAACAGGGATCAAGTATAGTGTGCAACATTACAGCAACATTGTATAGGCTGACAAACCACAGGGATCAAGTATAGTGTGCAACATTACAGCTATATCATATAGGCTGATAAACAACAGGGAACAAGTATAGTGGGCAACATTACAGTTACATCATATAGGCTGACAAACAGGGAACAAGTATAGTGGGCAACATTACAGCTACATCGTCTAGGCTGACAAACAGGGATCAAGTATAGTGGGCAACATTACAGCTACATCGTATAGGCTGACAAACAGGGATCAAGTATAGTGGGCAACATTACAGCTACATCGTATAGGTTAATAAACAACAGGGAACAAGTATAGTGGGCAACATTACAGCTACATCATAAAGGCTGATAAACAACAGGGAACAAGTATAGTGGGCAACATTATAGCTACATCGTATAGGCTGATAAACAACAGTGAACAAGTATAGTGTGCAACATTACAGCTACATCGTATAGGCTGATAAACAACAGGGAACAAGTATAGTGTGCATATTACAGTTACATCATATAGGCTGACAAACAACAGGGAACAAGTATAGTGTGCATATTACAGGTACATCATATAGGCTGAAAAACAACAGGGAACAAGTATAGAGGGCAACATTACAGCTACATCGTATAGGCTGACAAACAACAGGGAACAAGTATAGTGTGCATATTACAGGTACATCATATAGGCTGAAAAACAACAGGGAACAAGTATAGTGTGCAACATTACAGCTACATCGTATAGGCTGACAAACAACAGGGAACAAGTATAGTGTGCATATTACAGTTACATCATATAGGCTGACAAACAACAGGGAACAAGTATAGTGTGCATATTACAGTTACATCATATAGGCTGAAAAACAACAGGGAACAAGTATAGTGTGCAACATTATAGCTACATTGTATAGGCTGATAAACAACAGGGAACAAGTATAGTGTGCAACATTATAGCTTCATCGTATAGGCTGACTAACAACAGGGAACAAGTATAGTGTGCAACATTACAGTTACATCATATCGGCTGATAAACAACAGGGAACAAGTATAGTGGGCAACATTATAGCTACATTGTATAGGCTGATAAACAACAGGGAACAAGTATAGTGTGCAACATTATAGCTACATTGTATAGGCTGATAAACAACAGGGAACAAGTATAGTGGGCAACATTACAGCTACATCGTATAGGCTGATAAACAACAGGGAACAAGTATAGTGTGCAACATTATAGCTACATCGTATAGGCTGATAAACAACAGGGAACAAGTATAGTGTGCAATATGATAGCTTCATCGTATAGGCTGACAAACAACAGGGAACAAGTATAGTGTGCAACATTACAGTTACATCATATAGGCTGATAAACAACAGGGAACAAGTATAGTGTGCAACATTACAGCTACATCATATAGGCTGACAAACAGGGATCAAATATAGTGTGCAACATTACAGCTACATCATATAGGCTGATAAACAACAGGGACCAAGTATAGCGTGCAACATTACAGCTACATGATATAGGCTGATAAACAACAGGGATCAAGTATAGTGTGCAATATTTACAGCTACATCATCTGGTCATTTGGCATCGGCCAGGTACATATGTGAGGGATAGTGAATGCATCAACCATCTGTCGACTTAATCATTTCTTAAAAGAAACTCAAATGTCAATACAGTTCAGTGTCAGAATAATTCTTGATATATATATATTCATATATAGTCAAATCTCGCTCTTCCAAAAAGGTTGGTTGCTTACGATTATTTCGGATTAACGAGTATGTCGGATAAACAAAATTCTGTAGTATCAAAGTTCATGATCGAAAATTGGACAACTACACGACAGATAACGATACAAACATGTGTATGGTCAGTCAAAGTACGCGAAATTTGGTGTGTCTGAGTCGAAGTGTGAGACTGTAGGATTAACGGTTTTTAGCACTGATTTAATCTGTTCCCATCACTATTGTCGGATAAAACCAATTGTCTGATTAACGAGTGTCGGATTAATGAGACTTGACTGTATATTGGATAGCTATGAATTCAAAACATCACAACCTATCAGCAGAACTAAAGCCTGTAGCACTACAACCTTGGGTATTGAACTCTGGCAGGGCCTCACCATCAGTGCAGCAGGCCTGAACCTGCGAATCATTCTGTAGCAGGGCTGAAGTGCGTAACTCGTTCAGGTTGATGACACTGGCGATCCAGGACAGGCCCTGCTCCCTCGACGCTCTGGAGGTTACAACTTTCTTCAGAGCGTTGTACACCACATTCCAACAACGATGAAGTCCCTCCTGGATTGCTGACTACAAGGAAGCAGAAACCACAACTAAAGGATAGTGCCTCAACAGTAAATGGGGCATAATTAAGGGGTCGTTGTTGGCAGGGGTATATGGACTTGTCCACTGTTTAGGGTACCAGGTATGTTTCTGTAGTTTGATTTGGGCTAGGGTATATTTCTGTATACAGAAACATACCTAGTGTACATTTCTGTAGTACCTGTGCTGACAACAACCCCTTCAGCGTAAATTAGGTTCACAAAGATGACTTTTTTAAGTGATACTTAGTAAAAATACATTAAAACTGGTAATGAGGAACATGAAAAGAAAATATTACATCTGAATAAATCCTCATTTGCTAATAAATAAAGTGGAGCATTAACAGTGTTATTTTTCAGCATAACAATACCAGGCAATGACAAGTTCCAAAATGTCGACATGGAGGCCATATAAATGATGATTTCTCCTATATTCCATTTCATGCAATTAAGTGCCTGAATCGACACATGTGTTTTTCTTAGAAATGACCAAATGTAGTCCTATGAATCCTGGCAGCTGTGTCCTAGGCAGCTGGGCCACCTGTGGACCCTGAATAGGTTATTTCCCATCACCCAACAAGGGCAGAGTGATGCCCCTTGAATAATAACGTTACTGTTTCTCAGCAAGACACAAATATAAGGCCGGCCATCATGAACATACTTCAACAAGATGGAGATCTGCCTCGGTAACTCTGGGGAACCCCCTCATAGATGTGAATGGTGACGCTGCATTCCCTGTCAAGGTGATCTGGCGTTTCTGTTGGAACTTGGTTGGCACCGTGGACACTGCCAGGAGGGGACCAAACAGTGATGACTTCTCAAAGTAATTGCCCTGATAAAGAAGAAGAATCTAGTTGTTGGTCTAGTTGTCAGATAGCAATTTTGAAAAAGTGAGGTTTTAGAGCCGTTTTGATATAGGTGCTTCTGATGGAACTGTCCTAATTGAAACTGGGAGAGTGTTCCAGAGAGTTGGAGCAGCTGCATAAATGCTCTCTGTCCCATATTTGTTCTGGTACTTAGCTGGTTCAAGTTGGAGTTGTGCATGATTTGGTAACATGACGACTGACAAGATCTCTGAGGTATTGAGATGTTGATGCTGTTTCAAAGATGGTTTAATTTATCTGATAAAGCAGAACTGATCGATGTTCGTCATGGTTTGTCCGGTACTATCTGTAATGTTACATGCAACTAGCATGCTCCGCTTACACTGCCAATAACTGTCCTCAAGAACTCACCAGTCCCTGGGCAGCCTCTGTCACTTCCTTCTCTAGAGCAATGGCTAAAACAGCTCCCGCAGTCCCCTGGAAACAGATCCAATGTGAGGGTTACTCAGTAAAACATCACAGTTACCCCTTAACATGGCAGTTACTCCTCAATATAACATCACAGTTGCCCCTTCGTGTGAGTGTTACTCCTCAATATAACATCACAGTTGCCCCTTCGTGTGAGTGTTACTCCTCAATATAACATCACAGTTGCCCCTTCGTGTGTTACTCCTCAATAATATCACAGTTGCCCCTTTGTGTGAGGTTTACTCCTCAATATAACATCACAGTTGCCCCTTCAGGTGAGGTTTACTCCTCAATATAACATCACAGTTGCCCCTTTGTGTGAGGTTTACTCCTCAATAAAACATCACAGTTGCCCCTTTGTGTGAGGTTTACTCCTCAATGTAACATCACAGTTGCCCCTTCGTGTGAGGTTTACTCCCCAAAATAACATCACAGTTGCCCCTTCATGTGAGGTTTACTCCTCAATATAACATCACAGTTGCCCCTTCGTGTGAGGTTTACTCCTCAATAAAACATCACAGTTGCCCCTTCGTGTGAGGTTTACTTCTCAATAAAACATCACAGTTGCCCCTTCGTATGAGGTTTACTCCTCAATATAACATCACAGTTGCCCCTTCGTGTGAGGTTTACTCCTCAATATAACATCACAGTTGCCCCTTCGTGTGAGTGTTACACCTCAATATAACATCACAGTTGCCCCTTCGTGTGAGGTTTACTCCTCAATATAACATCACAGTTGCCCCTTCGTGTGAGTGTTACTCCTCAATATAACATCACAGTTGCCCCTTCGTGTGAGTGTTACTCCTCAATATAACATCACAGTTGCCCCTTCGTGTGAGTGTTACTCCTCAATATAACATCACAGTTGTACCAAAATGTGAGATTACTCCTCAATATGACATCACAGTTTTCATTTAATGAACCTCCTTGATAATAATTGTCTCTGGTATAAGCCCATTTAGTATCTTGTTACCTTCAAGTCCATCCATTAGTTTTGAGAATATGTAAAACAGGTCAGTTAACAAATGAATTTCATGCAGTCAATCTAAACATTTGGAAGAGTGGGCGTATACTTGAGATACTATCGTAAGATGGACTGTGCTGAGTGAGTGAGGTCTTAGGTTATGTGAGAACACTGTTTCAGTTTTTATTACCATATCAACTTATGAGGCAGAAAATCTCAACGTGATGAAAGGTGATTTTTTATTTGAACCCATGATCATGGCACAACTAAGGGAGACAAATCATGTCATCTTAGGCTCTGGGACCACCATCTATGCCTCCTTGAGCATGAGAAACAAGCATTTCTGAAGATGGAAGTCATGATGGCTATATGCATGGCTCTTACATTATCAAGCAGTATTTCCAGAGCTCTTAGTGTCTTGCCCTCCCTGAGAATCACTTCATCCATCCTGCAAGTAGAGTAAACATCTCTTGTGATGCACATACCTTGTTAAAGGGCAAGGAAAGTGAAAAACATGATTGGGAATTTGGTGGTGGCCTAAAGCCACTGAAAAATAACAACCTTGCATGCATTGTTGAAAGTGTGAAATGACCCTTGATCTTGACATTGTGAATAATTAAAATAACAATTAACAATCGGTTACTTGCTTTTTATTACTAAACATCCTGTTTGGGTAATAAAACACCACACAATAAAGGTCTGTCAGGTTTCAAGCCCATGAGATCTGACAATCATACACATAGTTGCCAGCCCCTTGCCACATAGTGGTAAGTTAAGTGTATGTTTTGTGTATATTGCGTATATATCATGGCAATTTGTAGAGGCGGTACTTACGTAACGTCTCAAGTATTTTAAGTTGTTGTAATTAGGCTTAATACCAGTTTAGTTGTTACTTCTGCTCTGCATGTTTATGTTACATTAAGCATAAAAATATTTCTAGAGTGCATAGCATTGTATCTAAATGTAGTTAATGCATTGGTGTGTTTATACTATGTGATTTATTTTATCTATTTCAAGATATATGCATTTTTTTATGCATATTTGAAGAGTTTGAACCAACTAGTGTATGTGCATTGCACATCAAATAAAGATCGCACTGTCAACTCACACCCCAGTAGCTTGTTCTGTGTTTTGCTCACTAACTGGAAACTTGCCTGCTACTAACTACATAAACAAATGGAGACATCTTTAGTGTTGTTACTAAGGTGACATAAGCTATGGACACAGTAAACAAATGGATAAGCAGACAGAAAAAAGACATAATGTGTACAAACATCCGAGGCAGAAGCAGGCAGACTTGCCATCAGCCTGCAGCACATCCAACACTGGGAACCTGTTTTAACCCAAGTAAGGGGAATCCCCTCAGTGGCGCAATGTTTCGTTTGGCCTGTCGTTTTTAATCGTCAGTTTTACGCTATTTCTGTTTTTCAAATTTAAATTTGGTCATGCATTTGTTATTAATTATGCGTTTAAGTAATAGAATCTGCAAAGTTGCTATGTTGACTTTACTTGCCCTTTAAGGAAGTTAATATTCTTTACATAGAACATTAGGAAACAGTCCTGATACAGGAGCTACACAACTGAAACATTTCACAAGCAGCTGGGCACTGTCCACATATCTTAACGTAAATTCATAAATTTAAGTATATAAAGTGCATTTTTATTTGATGACACAAAACATTAAACCTGATGTTGAGGAGTTCCAAACAGAAACACTTTGATAATACTTGTCAATGGGAAGACTGGGAAGTACTGATGACACACAGGCACAAACCTGTCCACATTGGACAGTTGTTGTCCGGCCGCTTGCAGCAATACAGTCAGGAAGAGGACAGAGTTATCTCCCTTGGCAGCACCTACAGCGTCCTCACTTTGCTGCAGCAACCTTGACAACAAGCTTGCAGGCACCTGCACACTGTCCTCCGACCAACCCGTCACACACAACAGGAACTTCACAGCCTCACTCTGAAAACAGTTGGGAGGAGAAAATTCACAAAAATTGACATTTGTCATTTGTATGCATACCCCGGTAGTACCAATAGCTTATTGTGATTGCTTCATTTAAGTTCTATTTGATACAGGAAATCATTTCACCAAATTTGTCTTTTATTATTTTCCCTGTGTTGCCTGTGTAACAAAACTAAAATACCCAAATGGCTATGTGCAACATATAGATTCATTAAAATACATGGCAACATATCTGAATCTAGCATCGTCCACAATATATGACACAAAAGCTACAAAAAAGGATACACTGTAGCACAAGTAACAATATGGGGAAATCTTTGGCAACACTAAAGAAATTGTAACCACTAAGTTACCCCAGTACTGTGGTCTGTTGAGAAAGAAGTGTTAAATCTGTACATGTACTTAACTACACAACTGGCCCACTTACTGCGACATGTGTATTGCCATAGTCAGACCACAGATCGTCATCCTCTGCATTAGCTGACTCTACAGAAACAAGGACAAAGGCTCTCATTCAAACTGTTTATACACAACATGGCAGACACAGGACTTTCACAAAAGTCTTTGCAAATGACCATAGAACAAACAAATTCATTCATTGGTTGAAATTATTACCTGTGCACTGAAGTTTTAAACCTTGTTTCTATTAAATCTACCAAAGCACTTCTAGAAAAAAAGTTAAAACAATGTCTGCAACAGCCTTAGTTAACAGCTGACATTGATAGCTTGAGCAACCTTAGACGATCAGACAAGGTTTAACTTCCTGAAAGAAGATCGTCAGTCATTCCTCAAATCTGACTTACTTTTCAATCCTTTAGAAATAGTTCAAATATATTCAAGTCTGATGTCTTGAAAATACTTGAGCCTTTTATGTTTTGGAACATTGATAAATAATATTCAACTTCATACATCATGTGACTCTGGAGAAGAATTAAAAATGTGAAAAATTAACATATGTTGACAACATCAATAGACATCTGGACACATCATATGTCATATTCTGGAGAACAAATCAACAAAGTTTATGCATGCCGACATCAAGAGTCTGACTCACCTGACTTGAGGTTGTCCATGATGACCCCAACACTGTACTGTTTCAGCCACTCACAGGCAGCGGTCACCAGTTGGTCATTAAAGTGACTCTGGAACTCCTCACAACTGCTGTAGCACTTCACAACATACTTGATGCGACTAATCTGACGGGGAACTATTTTCTTCATGATTTCGGCCAGGAATGCTGGGATGCCATCAGGCTTCTCGGGGACATCCTTAGCATTGATGGTAAGACTTCCCAGACTGTATCTGGTCTTCCTAGTGGTGCTGAGGTCCTGAAAGGCAATTCATGTCATGTAGTACCTCCAAGTTGTAGAACCATCACTCAGAAATCATTACCATTTCAGCTGGAAGGGCCAGAATGTACCAAATACTTGTTGTGGCTATCAGTTAAAGTGCAAAACAGCTACCTGCCCACCAGCCCATGGCTAGCAAGTTTCAGTTGGGCTAAAGATTCCAAAATGTCCCTAGTCTGACTGGCTACTGACATTATAAAAGTAATCATTTTATGCACTCCTATTACTAGATCAAAATTAAAAAAAGTTCTCCCGTTTCTGTAGATCAATCAACCATCAAAAATCAAATTTAAGTCTGTAACAAATCGAGGTCACAAGGTTGTGAGGAAAATCACTGATTCACTCTTAATCAAGTTTCACTTATGATAGATTCTGTTTTCTATATTTGCTATGCAGTAAATGTTTTCATCAGAACAAAATAAACTATCAACATAATAAGGCTAATGATATACTCACAATGGTAGAGTCAAGAACATTGGACAGGAATTGTCGCAAATTACTCTTGTTTGATGTTGATAGTCCTCTCATTGCTTGTGCTTTCTGTGCTTGTGCTGTTTGTCCTTCGGTACACAAGTCCTCTTTCCAGTCATCACCAGCTACTTGTAGATCAGTGGCTCCATCTGCTGGTTCATCTTGTTTTCCTCCCAGTCTCTCCCCCTGATTATGCTGAGACTGATCAGATGTCTGTGCCGTGTCTGTAGGAGTGCTGCACACTTTCGTCTTGGACTGGGAAGACACACTTGCACGCTGATCTGTTTGTACACCTGACTTTAACTGATCAGATTTGTTTTCACTCTTCTCAATGTTTTGGTCAGTTTGTAATTCTGGGTTTAATGTGACAGTGTGTTCAGAGTGTTGTATTGTTTGTTTTTCATCTGAATGAACTAGGTCAGGTTTTGATTTTTGTGCTTTGCTTTTTGCATTTTTTGTAGATAATGGTGTGGATTGCTTTAAATTGATCACATTTTCCTGTTGCTTGTGTGCCACATTGTGACTGGATATCTTGTCAAGCCAGTCTTCCCTTTTCCTCAAATGTAATCCTGAGAAACAAGTAACAACCAAACTACAATTAGAAAGGGCTTTGCAGGATTTACTAGAATATATAAACATATACAGTCTAACGAACATGCTTATAATGGACTGACAGATATAACAAACTGTTTTTTGGCCCAGCCATTTGCTGTACATATGCTGTAAATATGGGGTAACGAACTATGGTTATATAGAACTAAAATTAGTAGGTCCCTGAGTTTGTTACTACCGTAGTTTACTGTACACATGCTACAATTCACTCCAGGCTATACAATTTGAAATGGAAGGTTGAGAAGGATTTTTCTTTTGTGGTGCATTCTTGTATCAACATGACCACAATGCTACTCACTCTGAGTTTCTGGAGACATCGGGGTAGAAGCTGCTGTCTGCTGCCTCTTCATCACTCCCACAGCCAGTACCAGCACCACACCTCCACCAATCACAGACAACAATATATAGCTGGTGGTACTCTTCTCCTTCTCTTCAAGAACAGCTCCATCAGGCTGAAAGTTGCACACATCAGAGAATGAAACGTAGAGGCTCAAATTTATTCAACAGGTCACACTTTTCTTACTGAATGGTTTACAGATTTGCTAACTTATCAGACTGGGTTGGTCAGTTTATTCAGGCAAAATAAATAAACTGCAGGATGTTCACTAGTAATTTGACCGCCTACGAGGTCTAGTGGATACAGCTTCTGTATGGAAAGGGGTGGTTCGATCCCTGGCTGTGTCATACCAAAAGGCGTAAAAAGATGGTACTTGTTGTTACCCTGCCTGGCACTCGGCATTAAGGGGCAAAAACAAGGACTGCTCAGCCCAGTGTCAGTATCCTTGCTCGGCCCGAAGTTAGTATACTGTGTCAGAATAGGGTATTCATGTTTTACAGCGGCCTGGTATCTCTGTGGGCTAGCACGATAAAATCGGCATTAGTCCGGACTAGTACAAGCAGCCACACACAGACACACATGCATGCACATTGATTTATAAGTGCAATAATCTTGAACGCCATGTTATAAACCTCGGGTGACGTCATCCTATTGTTCTCCAGTCGGGTTAAATCTCATAAACAGGGACGTTGTAATGTCCCTGGGATTTTATGTAAAATCCCCAGGATTTTATAGGATATTCAAGTCATATTTGCTATATAATGTGTTATAATATCCCAGGAATTTTATATAATGTCCTGGGTATTTTAATTATATAACTTCCGTTCAGATTGTAACATGTAATGAAATGTAAATTCAAATGACAAATGTTTTCTTTATATTCCCGAGGATCGAACTCGCAATCTTCATATCTGTAGCCCAGTGAGTGTACCACAAGGCTACAGAGGTGTTGATAAGCCGCACTGCTTTTTAGAATGTCCTTTTCAAGATCCGTACGCCAGCATGGAAAGTATGTTCGAAACATAAAAATGTTGATAAATGTTGTTTTAAGGTTCAAAATCGGTTTATAAGTAAGATAAAACACTTCCCCTCGGGTTGTTAAGATATTTAAAACCCTTTCCCTTGGAAAATCCCTTGGGATGCGGGTTTTAAATATCATAACAAACCTCGGACGTGTTTTATCATATACTAAAACCCCATTTCAGTTCACTCCACAAGTAATTTTGTATCTGTGTTTACTTTTGTCAGTGAAGGCTTTGGCAGTGGAAAGAGACCATATATATAAAATTCATTGGAATAAATACTATTCAAAAAGTTTTATTTTGTAGTGAGATATTTTATTTTCTACTCCATCAATGATAAAGCATATTGTATTTTAAAATTGTGGTCTTCGGTGCCAGTTGCCTCAATCCGTAAACCACAAAACATAAATAGAGGATATTTCATGTGTCGAGTGAAATATCATGTTTACACATGGAATATCCTATTTATTACATGTATATACTTTTGTGTAGTTGTCTACTGGAAAATTAAATTATTTAATTTCAAATGCAAACCTTGAAACGTAAATTCTCCCTACCTAACGCGCAGGGACATTTCACAACCCCTTGTAATTGTGACTTAAAAAGTAGTTCCATATTTGTAAAATCTTAAAAAATATAAACAAAATTAACAAAAATTATTTAGGGTTACAGAAATTCTATATCATACATTTGGTTATGATTATAGACAAAAGGACCTTACAAAAGAAAAGTCTTTTTATTTACAAGACAGCTGTTAGAATCAAAATAATACACACTGGTCAAGTAACAAAAATGCGAAACAAACAGTCTCAATTGACGAGTTAAATGAGGAATTTACAGTTTATAACAAAACAATTTCAAAAGACTAACAACCAGCAAGAAGCAGTGTCAACTCCCCAATGACCAGCTGTCATTATTTGGCCTTGTCAATGAGGAACTAACATAAAAAGGATGTCAACAGTTGGTGTACAGGCTAGACATTTACAATTTAGACAATTTGTGGGGAGGTAACTCTTGTATGACAATAGTTCCGTCCAAGTGTTAAGTTCACTGCAGTTAAACAGTTATATTCAGCGGTTAAAGTGTTATATTCAGTGCATTGAAATATCAAGTGTTATGTTCACTGCAATGAAAATATCACTTTTCTTAACTTCGGAAAACTCTTTCAACTCAGTCTTTCACACTGAAGTATATATAATAAACTGTGCCGCTTCATACTCATATGGGCAGATTGGTTCCCTGATTCAGTGGCAGAGTCCTGGCATACAAAGATGATAGGAACACTGACCGTTTCTATGAACAGTGTGAACAAAATTCAAACCAGCATTAATAAGAACAATTGCTCCCCAAACAATGCTTTTTCAAACAAAAATTGTTCCTAGCTCTCTTTTATTCATGGTTCAAAAACATACGCACATCCAGTAGCCCTGGAATGTTTTACCAATGCAGGCAGTGGCTCAGGACCAAGAATAATGTTGTCTGACCTTCTCTGGCTCATCATCTGCTCTGTCAATGGTATCTCTATGATCCTGTCTTTGTTCCTTCTGTTTCCGTTTCACAACAGCTGAAATGTCCGCCCTTCCCAAGTCCAGTTCTTCCACACTCAGCTCTCCATTATCATCTATGTCATACTTTTTCAGAACTGCCTGAATGTCCTCCTACAACATACACATTCTTGACCCTACAGTCTCGCCACATGGTCACTGTCACCGCTATGGGTGTCTAGGTACCGTAGGATCTGGGACCACACCGCTTTGAACAGTATTTCAGCTATATAACAGCATGTTGACTTTAGGTGGGAGGAAAGTCCAAAACGGATGCAGGTCTCACATTTTTAATACACTGGGGAAACCTACAAGCATGGGTATGGCACTGACAAACCAAGGAACTTAATAAAGGTGAATCCAGGTCTAACACCCAGAGGATTCTGTCAGGCCTGAAGGATCCAACTCTGTACTCCATACTGGGGTACCTTTGATGACTTGGCCACCTATGCCTCCAGTTTCAATCAAGGATTCATAATTTTAGATAAGCACATGCACATTAGTGTGAGCCAGTGTAAAGCACATGCTCATTTTAGTGTGAGCCAGTGTAAAGCACATGCTCATTTAGTGTGAGCCAGTGTAAAGCACATGCTCATTTAGTGTGAGCCAGTGTAAAGCACATGCTCATTTAGTGTGAGCCCGTGTAAAGCACATGCTCATTTAGTGTGAGCCAGTGTACAGCACATGCTCATTTTAATGTGAGCCAGTGTAAAGCACATGCTCATTTAGTGTGAGCCAGTGTAAAGCACATGCTCATTTAGTGTGAGCCAGTGTAAAGCACATGCTCATTTAGTGTGAGCCAGTGTAAAGCACATGCTCATTTAGTGTGAGCCAGTGTAAAGCACATGCTCATTTTAATGTGAGCCAGTGTAAAGCACATGCTCATTTAATGTGAGCCAGTGTAAAGCACATGCTCATTTAGTGTGAGCCAGTGTAAAGCACATGCTCATTTAGTGTGAGCCTGTGTAAAGCACATGCTCATTTAATGTGAGCCAGTGTAAAGCACATGCTCATTTAGTGTGAGCCAGTGTAAAGCACATGCTCATTTAGTGTGAGCCCATGTAAAGCACATGCTCATTTTAGTGTGAGCCAGTGTACAAGATCCTACCTCATTCAACATGTCTGCCAGGCCAATGTCATCTCCATCATCAGCCTCCATCCAGCCTTCATCATCAAAGCACACTGTCACCACAGTGACCAAAGTTACTACCAGTAAAAACCTGAAACTCAATAAAAGGATATTTTCTCAATATAATAAGGCTTAGCTTTCAAGGATTTGTCCAGACATCCACAAACTTAAAATTTCACAAATTTGGAATAAAAATTATTATTAAAACCTATCATTTTCAATCCTGCCTATTCGTTTAACAGATACCAGTAACTAAAAAAGGTACTTAGGTAGTCTCATTTGAGATGCACTGCTCGTCCCAAACTAGTGAAAATCTCCCCAAATCAAGTAACAGTACATAAACTACTAGCTAAAAATGACCTGTTAACAAGATATTAGTCTTCTCAATATAAGAAACACCCTAAACAGCACATGTCTCTATGATGCTGTCTAACAAACTGAAAATGTTGAATCTGTCTGGGTGTGAATATGAAGCGATACACCTCAGGGCACATGTTGTTAAATTCTAATGCTTAGTAGATATCTTCGAACAAGTTAGCTTTCAGAGTGTGAACATCTACATATCTTCTTCTTAATTTTTGCATGACACCATGCTGGTTGGTAAGTTCAATACATAGCTTGCATGTTAATTAAATGCCAACTTACAAAATATAATGCAGCCTAACTATCAAGGAACTCAAACACATTTGTTCACTTCTGGAGGAGTAGTTATCAGTGACATGGCTGATTCTACTGTGGTGTCAAGGGCACCATGTACATCATGCTAATGATGTGTCATTAATGTTTAAATAACTAAGTTTACAGCACATTTTAATAAGGACAATTTTATATTCATATGTAGCACTTCAGACATATATTCAACACCATCAGTCAGCATGAAATTACTTAGGATAGGTATTTCAAAGTAAAAGGATATTCAGATTTTAAATACAATTTGAAAAAAAATTACATTCAAATTATTGCAAAAATACAGAGTGTTTTCACAACCTTAATATTACCAATGCAGTTCATTTGTTAAGGAAGGAAAAACACACAATGTATCAAAACATCTAAATAATTTCAATTGCAACAGAAGTTTCCCTCTAGCGCATATTAGGAAAAACAATTTCTGCTGAAGGAAACAAAATTCTGTCAATACAATATCCCCACTGGAAACTATTTCCTTGTATAGTGTTGTGATTAGGTGGCCTGCCTCCCTGGCTTGGAGTGTCTGGCAAACATGAAGGGGTCACATGAAGGGGTCGGAGGTCATGTTAGTGTTTACTGGATTCCAGTCACACCCTCATCCACAGCTTTTTCACAGGCCCCTGACGACAACAAAAAACTTACCCAAGTAATTCTGAGTTACTTTTTTATAAATATACTCATGACAATTTCAAAACCACAACAACAACACCCAGTGTAGCCAATTCCCCTTGGGTAGGCCAACATTATTTCATTTCAGATCGTTTTTGACTGATCAAGTGCGGGCATCAAACATACAGGAACTCTACTGCAGTGAATAATATGTGACCTGTGACACACTTGGGGCAGCTCATGAACAGACACAAAGTAGAAGTCACCCGAAACAGCACCTCAAGCAGAATTATTTGAAAATATGTCAACTCACTTGTGTAAAATACCCCACTGATTGGACCCACGGAGTAAAATATAGTGAATACTCCCAAAGAAAACTATCAATACTGTACCCAGTGTGAATGATATCATTTGAGTAAATACACAGTGGTTAAAACAATGATCTGATGTCGTGTTTGGTCGCACATTGTCAGTCTAGGTCGGGACTTTGGAAGTTTGTTCTATGACTGAAATTGAGACATATTGTCATTGTGTAATTAGAGGAAGCTTCACTGATTGATGCCTGTCACAAAGTTTGAGTTAGCTGACAAACAAAGTTGGGTTTGAATGACATCAGTCACATTTGCTAGGATTGCCACTTGGCCTCAGTAAACACCAACTGGACATGGCAGCTGATGTACTATAGATATAAATGGATTCATAAGAGATGTTTATAAAAGAATGTTTTCAGCTTGTTGTGTTCTCCCTGGTTTAGGGACCACATTATCACCGAGCTGATGCCGGGAAACTATTGTGTCATAAGGGTTGATGTTGATTAGGGTGGCTGTAACGTTACTTTGCATTGTAAACAATCTTACAATATTATATTCTTCAAGAGTACAGACCTAGCCTATAATTTGCATTGCGAACTTAGACTTATTTCTCTACAGGCATTCCTAACACTCACCGAAACATTCTTAAACGGCTCCAACAGATAGATTTGATTTTCAAACCTCGAGTGCACTGTCGTCAATTTACAGTCACTTGTATCAACTGTCCATTGCACATGTATTGGTAATGGTAATGTCTCAGATAACATCACCACGTCAAGGTAACATGGGGTTTCCCCGAGCAAACTCCCTACTCTCTATTAGGATTCGCTAATGTAAAACTAAAGAAACGATACACTGTTAGGAGTATAGAATAGGGGCACTTATGGGGTTTCCTCAAGTTTATGTACATACAGATACACGGGTACATGGGTAATAAGTAGTTGTGTGGCGATACACCGTTGCATCGATCACAATCGCACACAAAGTAAAAAGTATCTATTCTTACCTTAAATGTATTCTTGAATTAATGTTACACCAAACACTAATTACTAGCGAAAATGAGTTTTGAAAACGTAAATATTTTCATCCATTGCGCCATACTTGACACTGCCCAGTGTAAATCGTTAGTGTGCCAGGTATTTGGCCCCCCTGTCTGAAAAACATGGCTCACGCACCACAGAAAAGTGCACATGCAAGTATCGTGATACGTAATAGGATCGCACAGTTTGTGTATCGTCCAAGCCCTAGTAATAAGGTGAATAGGTAGAACAGCTTGTAGGCAAGATAATATGATGAAGTCATATCAGTTAAATTAAAAACATACAACAAAAACATCAAATGTTCACTGGAAAATAGGGTTAACTCTGTCGTTCGACATCAATATGAACAATAAAACCGGATCTCGCAAATCTGTGAACAGGTTGTAGAGTCCCCATGCACTGCTAGGATCACCCTTGCTAGTTTCCAACTTCATATAGACCTTGTGGAGATGTCCAAAATGTCCCGAAATGCAGCAAATCTAGATAAATGCCATTAAATGGTATGAGAAGATCAACGGCCACACGCAGAAAGATAATAAAACAATACGCCAAAGCATGTATTGTATGTTATCCACGTACCTACTGCACATCCCATGTTATAATGACACGTGCCAAACTTGCAGAGTAAAATTTTGTCAAAAAGTCATTTTCAATATGGCCTACACAGAACGAAAATCCGAGAGTAATACCGGGTCATCCCTGCATAGTTTTACTTTCTCATATAGGCTTTGTAGTTTCAGGGAAGATGGCGAATATGTAAACGTTTATGACAAATTGATCATTAATTGATTATCTTTGTGTGTAATATCTAAAGTATAGATAGAAACTTTGATATCAATGTTTGTTTTTTTCACACATAAAAAGAACACGAAACTCGTCTTCAATCTCCTGGTTGATACAGTTAGTACATACACAACAGAATCAGTATCCTTGGTTCTACAAGATTTATTCACTTGGAAGTTATGGCGAGTTACTCTAAATTTACAAAGAGCTTTCTATAGAAATATATCTTGTAGCACAGTTAAATATTTTTCTGGTTGTAACAATGATTTGATGCTAGCACAATGCTTGAGAAAGTGTGGCAGACAATAGGCAAGTGATCTGAGTCGTTTCGTTCCACCACTGACATATCTTTAATAGATTCAAATATATTCGATGAAACAATGTAATAATCTACAGTACTACTTCCTGTGTGAGAAATGAAAGCAATATTACCTGACCTATCTGAGTTTTTCCTACCATTAACGATGTGAACCCAAGTAACTTACACAGGTCAAGTAAGGCTCCACCATAGTTATCTATATGAAAATCACTAACACATCGTTGTTGACAAAATTCATCTGAAGTGTGCATATTCTTTATCAATAGTTAGATAATCTATCTCATCCTTATCAAATAATCTAATTCCTGAACAGTCCTTTCATTAAAATCTCCACATAGGATCAATTTACAGAAGTCCCCACAATCATAGATAATATGAATTAACTGCCATGGCGTTCTAACGCGTCTACACCACTGTCCTCCTCATTAGTATATAACAACCATCAGGAATGTTGGGAAGGGAGATAATTCATCTTTGTTTCCGAAAACCGGAGCGTCGTCCCATGCAGAGTTAACTCGTTCAAAATATTGTGACAAATGATTTTTTATACAAACGGAAATGCCACATGAGAACCGACCACGGTGAACAGATCGCTTAGCCTTACATTCGAAAACGAGTTTATTTTCTGAAAGACTAGTTTCGGCACATGTTACGTCAAGAAGGGTGTCAACACTTTTCGGAAGCTCCAGATACGATGCATATAGATCGTCCAAAATGTTATTAGAACCAGAAAAGATATCTTTCAATTAGTAGTAAACTTAGAAACATAAGATTTAGAATTGGTTCAACAGACAATAACCAGACATTTAGGGATTTGTCCTGTATGTATAGTAACGGAAAGACGTAACCGTGTTTCATACAGAGTTCAATAAAAAATAAATTTATTCTGAAATTATACACTGCATCTTCCATGAAAAAGTACTAGAACTTGTACTTTACTAAGGAAGTGTAATCCAAAATATAACATTTGATACATATGCCCACTTTCTAAAGGCATTGTGTACATATCTTTCAATACATAGTCATGAAGACATCGCGACATTACGGTCGTGATTCACAATTTTCACGTGCATTCATGCATGCACCGCGCACAATATTGATGTTTGCGTTCTTTTTGGGTGAAGGCTACCCATGCACACATGTGGTTTTTTTATGTGAACAGCACACAATGATTGCTCAGCTATCAGGTGCTCGAAAAAACACTTTTGTTTGACTGTGAATAACGCTAAGCAATGTCACGGCTTGCTGAAACTAAACGGGTACGCTGCAAACAGGAATGACGCTAATGAAGTTGCCAAACATTTTCATGTTCAAAGAAACACAATATCATCTCTTTGGGGGCGTTATCTACAGCAGGGCAACGCTCAAGGCCTGCCTCGGTCCGGTCGTCCACATGTGACGTCAACAATGTTCGGTTGGTGCATCTACGAAATCGATACCAAACTGCCGCATTTACAACTCGCATAATTCCACGAGCCCAGGTTTCATCTGGACAGCTCTGATTGTCATGCAAGGGTGAACAGGGGTCCATGAGAACGACGCTTGCGTCTTTCAGCGTCGTCAATTTGGCGTGGAAGTGTAATGGTGTGGGGTGGCATCACGGTAGAGCACAACTCATCATTGTTAATGGTAATTTAAATGGCGTGAGCTACCGGGACGGCAGGCACGTTGCAGCAGGATACTACCGGCCCACGCGACATGCACTATGCACGTGTTGTGTTTGTTGTTTAACGTCGCATTCAGCATATTCCAGTTATATGACGGCGGTCTGTAAATAATCGAGTCTGGACCAGACAATCCAGTGATTGACATCATGAGCATCGATTGGGATACGATGACATGCATCAACCAAGTTAGTCGCCGCTTACGACAAGCACGGGTTGCCGAAGACCTATTCTACCCCGGATCTACACGGGTCGCACGTGTTCTGACAGACTCGTGGAGGCAGCATGACATTGCTGTTCTGCCATGGCAGGCGGGTGGCAGCCCTCTCCTCCATAGGATATGTCTGGGATGAGATGGAACAACGCCTGCTACAGAAACAGAACTAGCAATAACGCTAGCTCAGTTGGACCAATCTTTGGTTGACATCTAAAACAACAGCCCCGGGCTCTGGTGTCTTCACTGCGCCGCTGCTGCCTCGCCTGTATCAACGCAAATGGTGGTCACACCCGATAATGACATTGTTAATGGAAATGACACACCATCCCTCCATTATGGCGTGTCGCTGTTTCCTGTTACCAGGTATGGTTGTGCCGGTTACTTTGCGGATGTTAAGATGAAACATTGATGAGACGAATGACCAAATATTATAGTGTTATTTTCCATAACATAACATTTACACCACTTTATATAAAGTACTGTATTCCGCTGGTATATATCCGACAATGGAGATGAGCAAATATTGCATGTGGTGAATATGGTGATTTGAGGAAAGAATATATTCCGAAAAAATGCCAACATAATTATGACAGACAGACACTTCAGACAACGAGTCAATCCAGGTCAAGAGAGCGGAAGGTCCGGGGTACGATCCCCGGCCGCGTCATACCAAAAGACGTTAAAAGATGGTTCTTGTTGTTACCCTGTCTGGCGCTCGGCATTAGGGGCCAAAACAAGGACTGGTCGGCTCGGAGTCAGTATACTGTGTCTGAGTGGGGTATTCATGTTAAACTGCGGCATGGTATCTCGGTGGGCTAGCACTATAAATCGGCATCAGTCCGGACTATGTAGTACAAGCAGCCACAAAAACACACACACGTACATGCACGTCGTTATATAAGTGCGATAATCTTGGACACGACGTTAAACCCAATTTCACCTCACCTCACCAGGTCAAACTAGCGCTATATTTAAAACAGGCATTTGCTTCTAGAAAACGTTTACCGTTATATAATCATTGTGCAATATATACCATGCAAAAATAAAAGAAACGCTAGAGTAATTTTAGATGTATAATTCATTTATGATCCAAAATTGGTTCCCACAGGAGATATCGCTTCGGTGTGATCAAGCGATATCTACATTGCAATTAAATAGCATCACAATGCTTTGCAGACCATTTTGGCGTCATTGGTTACTATAACTGATTCCTGAATAGGGCTGTTCTCAGTCTTGTCATGTGAGGATGGGCGTTGTCTTGGATAATGGTGTTCGCTTGTTGCATAAGGGGAAGGACGTGTGACCGAAGAGTCACTAAACCAAACTTGTCTCCATCGCAGTTGTGGCCATACTCTGTGACCTTGACATCACTGACGTCGCAGCCGACGATGCAGTCCGTCCAACTGACACCTCAAAATGGTCGTCTAGCACGAATACCTTCATCACGTAAATGGTTCCTCAATGACTGGGCTGATATCCTAAGGAATCCGGGTATTGCCATAGTTGGAGAGGTGGCCGTGATGGTTCTTTCACGTAAGTGGCGTAGCCAAATGAATCTGTCCTGTGCTGTAGTAGTGATACGTAGTCAACCGGATCTGAGAAGGTCACGTGATGTCCCGCGTGTCTCGTAATGGTGCCTGGTGCTACGTGGGTATACAGCTGAAGATGATTCTCCTGTTTGCAAGCGGCGGATGGTGTTGTTGATCGAGTTGGGGTTCCAGCGTCGTGGCATGTTTTCGCTGCATGATTGTGATGGCATGCAAATGAAAACCCAACAGTTTTAATGCCCCTACAAG